AACACATACCAGGTATGCATCCCACAATGCCCAAGCTAATTGTACTTCTGTATATCCTCTATTTCTCCTCTTTTTATATAATATTTCCTGGAGCAGTGCCCCACTGATGCCTACATGTTTGCACTGTGTAGCTCGGTAGGCAGTCGTGCGGCTCTGTGGCTTTGTCTGGCTTCATATTAGGTTTGCTAGGGCAGATTAACCTCACAGGAGTTAAGCTTGCTGCCTCCTGGCCATAGTATAATACAACAACGGTCTGCGCATGCTTTTGTAATGTACTCCACGTCTCCATTACAGCATTATGTAGCAGTGCCCCTATCTATACTTTGGCCCCTGTTGTCACATGACGAACCTGTTGTCAGAGGAAACGTGCCTTCATCTGATGTGATCATAGTTATCAACCTAAAAAGCAATAAATACTCTAGATACTATAGATAGGGTATATTACACACACACACATACACACACATATATTTGATATATATATATATATGACACACACATATGTATGTATATTTTTTTTCACCCTAGATTTGTACACATTACATGGAGTTGCTAATATTATTTCTCTTACTTTGTCCTTTTGATCTTGCACCTCCCCCCCACCAAGATGGAAGGGTTTCCAGAATGCTCGTGGAGGAGCTGTAGTCTGTGCAAAGCCCACAAACTTTAGTCATGAGATGTAAGCATTTAAGAATTGAGCTCCTGTGGAGTGAAACCTATGTAAAATATAAACAGATATTTGTTTTATCTTAAATCATTATACTTCAACAGTATCCTCCATTGTTTAATAGCTAATGTAAAAGTCAGTAGCTGTTTTTTTCTCAATGAGCATTATAACTATGTTACTTCCAGGAAATCATGCCCAATCGATGCCTGCTTGTCGTTATCATTGGCACGCTTCCCGCGGTTTTTCCTAGAACACCTGAGCTCGTCTCTTTGCAAGGAATGACAGACATTCGATATTAAGCCTCCTGATCGACATGATGCCTCTTTGTATTCAATGAACTCATTGCTTTTCGATCTCTCTCCATTTTCCCTCTCTTCTCCCCCTCATCCTCATGAATGCCATCTTTTCTTTCACACATCTCCTGTTTATTTCTCATGTGTTCTTTTTCATAATTTTTCTCTTTCTTTTTCTTTCGTTCTTTCTTTCTGTTTTCTAGTTTCTCGAGTCACATGAGATCCACGCATGGTTGGTAGAGACCTTAGCGCCAGAATGAGAGGTAATCCACCCTGCTGCTCTTCCATCATCAGTGAGTAGGAGCCCACACCCAGGGAGATGAACCATATTGTTGCATTTCCATCCACTTGGTCACTTCCTGTTTAGAAACCTGCCATTTGATTTGACCGCAGTCTGAATCTCTCTGTCGCAGATGTTGTCAGAGAAGGACAACATGGAGGAGTGTGACTGATTGGTGGGGACACTGAAATGACTGTGGAATGATTACAAGGTTGAGGATGATAAATAGCTATGTCCGTTCAGGGTGTGTGCACGGGCACGTGTTTTGTCATGCATAAATCACAGCACATGGCCGCTGCCCCATTCTGATTGATGGGTATCGTGGGCTGGGAAAAGATTTGTCATTATCTTAGGATATCCTGCATAATTAGGGCATAATGAAGCAGGTGAAACATCTGTCTGGATATTTTCTGGCATCCCCTCTCATGTGCTGTATGGGTCGCTGTATGCTAAATAGGGACTGGTCACTGGGTACTGTTGACTGAGTGAGGTGTTTTGGGGTTCTGGGGGACCCGAACACTGGGAGCTTCATAATCAGAGTGCAGACCGAATCCACCAGAGCAGCTAAACGCAGTGTCACACTATTATGTAGAAAGTACAGTGAAGCTGCTATCAATATGTGATATACAGCTCTGGAAAAAATTAAGAGAAAATAGCAAAATGTTCAGTTTCACTCATTTCTAAATTTATGGGTGTGCGCCTGTGTAAAATATATATTTTTTTTTGCAAATTGTAGCTTAGCTCTTCCCTGCTTCTCATTGATGAAGGGCTTCTTCTTTGCTTTATGGGACTTCAGTCCTGCTTCTAGAAGCCTGATATGAACTGTCCTAGCAGTGCACTTCACATCTGCACTTAATGTTTCCCATTCCTTCTGAAGGTCATTTGGTGTCATCCATTGATTTATGAGGCACTATTGGATAAGTTGACGGTCATCTCTAGCATTAGATAATCACTTCTGCCCTCTACCTGACTGGTTTCTGGCTGTTCCCAGTGTCTCCTGTTTTACTTTGTTCTTGTGAACCGTGGCCTTAGAAAGCATCCTGCTGTTCAGCATAGCCTTCTGCCAACAGAACCAGGATTAAACCAGGATTTAACAATGCAGATTCTTGGAAAAAAAAAAAAATAATAAAATAAATGGTCTAATAATATGAAATTTTCCAGAGCTGTATATTCTATTAATCCAGAATACAGCCACAGTGCCCATTTACTTATTGCAATTTTAAGTGATGCTAGGAAGGCAGAATTAATCTTTAATAGTGCAGCTGTAGGATTTTTGGTGTAACTGTATGGAGATTGTTGATGTGCAGCCCCGCATTACCAAAGTGTCATCTATGCCGTTATCCACTCAAAATATTCTGCTTTAACGAGCTGGCACCCGGGACCGAGGCGCCCGCTAGGCCAGTGAGCGCTGATGACGACACGCAGCGGGGGCAGCTGCAGGCGGCCGCACCTGGTCTCCAAGTGGCCGTGCAGGGACCATTGTTGGGAGGCAGTGCTGCGACCTACTTACACCACCCACGTGCAGTGACACTGCCTGCGTTCCACATGCGGCGGGTAACAAGGCCACCAGCCTCCATCCGTCCGTCCATCCATCCATCCATCCATCGGTTTTCTCAACCTGCTTGACCTGTTTAGATTTGCGGTGCTATTGAGGCTATCCTGGAAGTTATGGGTGCAAAGCAGGGAACAGCCCAGGATGTGGTTCTAACCCATTACACACTCATACACCATTCACTCACACATGCACTCCTAGGGACAATTTAGTAACTCCAGTTAACCTCAGAACCATGACGGAGCCTCAAACCCTGGTGCCAGAGGTGTGAGACAACAGTGGTAACCCCCCCCCCCACACACACACACACACCACGATGATGATGATTATTATCCTTATTGTTATTATAATAAATAATAATAATAATGACAATAATAATTTATTATTAGCAATGCTCTGAGTGTTATATTAGCATTTCAACTGATGCTGCACGCCCATTTTACATAGAAGTCTCTTCCACCCAGACACTCTCTTTGCTCCAAGATACTATAGCAGGGATTCCCCTTGAACTGCTCAGCACTCAGCCTGACAGGCGGCCCCTCAGCTCCGGGGATACCTGCAGCGCTGCCTGGGTGGCCTGCACATACAGACACCTTCTTAATACACACACACGCTACGATAACAATAATACACAATAAGCAGGCGTCACGATCATCGTTAGCGGGAGTTCCGTAGGTCATGGATCAGGCGATACACGGGCACTGTTACGTCCAGGGCATGGCAGCGGGCTTCAAAGGGGAGGGCTTTTTCGGGAACAGGGATGCTTCACAGGACCCACAAATGAAAGAGTGCAGACTACTTTCATAAGCAGTCATAAAGAAGCTCCCATCTGGCAGAGGATGAAAGAGCCAATCGGCCTTTTATTTTCTCTGTGTATGCCTGCCTGCTTGTTGGTGCCGGGTTTAATACTTCATGGTCCTTGATAAACAAACACACTCTGAAAACAGGCACCGAAGTTTAATTCTGTTCTATATATCATTAAAATGTGTTTCCTTTTTACCGTTTAATCGATTGATGTGGACAGACCTGGTCCATGATATTTTTAAATCAGATATAATTTGTAATATTCATTAGTACATTCTAATATAGTGGCATAAGTTAACACAAAATCATTAATAGTGATACTTTATTGATTCACTGGTGACTTAAGCAGAGGCTATATGTAGACTGTGCTGATTTGGGGGGAATTCCCATCCTGTGTGATTTTAGAGTGAGTATTTAAGAATCTCATGGCGCCGATTAATGGTTTTCTGTGAACTGTAAGCCAGGAGGGTTAGGGGACAAGAGAAATGAAATGGAGAGAAACAACAATTACTACTACTACTACTACTACTACTACTACTAATAATAATAATAATAATAATAATAATACTAATAATAATAATAAATCTGCAGTACATCATATGGATCTCAGCAGAAAAAGCCCTTTGTCATACGGCACCCAGTTGTACTTTGGCACAGACCTACATAATTCTGCTACATGCAGTACATGTTGTGTAGCGTATGAGTCGCTATTTAGCTATTTGTAATGCAGATATTCAACTAAGGTCATGCAACTTTTCACCATAATATTGATTGTTTTTTAGATTTGGTCTGCTGCCTGCTATGGTTTACGTTTTTACAATCAATTTACAACTTAAAACTATATATTTGTGTATGGTGTAATTTTTCGTATAAGTGCAGGAAAGGTGTGTTTAAGCTCCAACTCATTTAATTGGCATATGTAAGAGAGAGAGAGTGTGTGTGTGTGGTCCAGGTATACATTACATTGTGAGGATCAAATGTCTCCACAATGTGATAAAAGCCTGTTATTTTGACATTGTGGGGACAATTCTTTCGGTCCCTACAAGGGGAAATTCAATTTTATAAAAATCTGTGACTGCAATAAGGAAACAAAAAAAAAAGAATTGTATTTTGTTTGGTTACTTGTGGTTAAGGTTAGAGCTGGGTAGAGGATAAGGTTGTGGTGTTGGGATTAGGGTTTTGTCCATTGAAATGAAAGGACAGTCCCCACAAACATGTGACTACAGGTCTGAGTGTGTGTGCGTGTGTGTGTGTGTGTGTGTGTGTGTGTGTGTACGTGCGTGCGTGCGTGCGCGGGGGCGTCTGTGTGTTTGATTCAGTTTGAATTCGTGTGCTTGAAGCTGGTTTGCCCGAGCTCATACGACACTTAAGTCCAACCTGTTGCGGCAGTCATGATATGCACCCCGTCTCATATAGTATGCAAGTAATTTTAGCTGTTGTAGTTTTGTTCTCCTTTTATTGTGAATTATAACAACATATGCTAACTTCGTCATGTCTGAGGAAGGAGAGGACAGTGACACTGCCGAACAAGTGCCGGGTCTTGCGGCTGATTCCTGCATGTTTTATCTCTCTCTTGCGCACACGCCTGCCGGCGGGCTCGGGGAGTGGGGATGCGCCCAGAACCCGCAAGGGCCGCCCGGGATCGCCCTTCTTTCCCAGTCTGAGGAGCTCAGCGAAAGCGACGCCTCGCCGCCAAAGTTAATTCAGCGCTTTAAACAGTCAGGTACTTTATTTCGGCAACCACAAAACGTGCAAATAACTATCTCGGAAGGAAAATATGCGGTTTTCTCGGAGCGCGGCGGGAAGCAGCAGCAGATGTTTGGCTTTGAGGAAAACTCCTGCCGGATTCAGGACCAGGGACAGCGATCTTCACGTCAGCAGGACTCCGCGGAGTATGAAAACCACTGTTCGGGCTCTCTAGACTCCTTATACAACCGGGCTTCTCAGCAAGCGTAAGTTCGCACACAAACACGTCTTAAATATATAGCATGAAAAATATTGATTTTTGTGCATCAACCTCTGTTTCATTAAATGCATAATGTAATGAATATTTGGTTTGCGATGTAGAAAATGAGCCGAAAGGCTATTTTACGTGTTGATATGCATTCAGAGAACCTATAGATACACATTATATTTAAAACTTTTGAGTCACATTTTCCATAACTACACTGTACTACACCATTTCCTACAACTCTTTGTTTCCTTTGTCCAAGCCAAGAATTTTGGGGGCCATATTTAGTAAGGCAAATGAAAATGATTAAACTCTTATTAATATAAAAAATACACTTTAACTGGAACTGAGGATCATTTAAACACGTATTTAATTTTGCATTCACATGTTTACTTTTCCCAAGGAGTGTATGTAAAGAACCTTGCAGTTAGCAGAGAATAGGGTAGGTAGGTTTTAAATAGCTCCTGTCGATATATGCAGAACTGTGTACAAAAATGTTCATATATATGTACACACATGTACCCAAGGTGGATAAACATGATGGAATGAAGAACAGTACGTTAAATCATATTTAGACTGCATATAATACATGTATCTGGATGGATGGATGGATGGATGGATGGATCTTCATTGCTGAAAATATGTGAATTAAGACATTAGTAGAATTTCTCAAAGCCTAAGGTGATTTTTTTTTTAATTATTTGGTTCCAAAACCAGATATTGACATAACTTTACAGTGGGAGATTCGTGGAAAGAGAAACACTGGTTTTTATTAATATTTTTCTTAATTATAAACCAGGCATGGGCATCTCAATATTATTTTCCCAGAAGTATATTAAGGCTGTAGCTTTGGTAATCTAGTAATTGTTTTGGAGGAATGAAAAAACAGACCTCTGGCCCATTTGAATCTATACAGATATGGTGTAATATAGAATACTGTTGTCTATAGAAAAACACAGTAGAAGTATTCCATGTGCTTTGAGGTTTGGCACTTAGTTTTCAAAGTAGATGCATTGAGATTAATAAATTTCAGACAATAAAGTGAATATCAGCACTCTTATTAGTAGTAAGCAGCATAAAATGTCTTTTCTAAGTTACAAGTCGTAATAAGATCCAGCAGAGGGCAAGCAATTTGGTTCCATATGGGCGAGAAGGATATAAAAACATGTAATTAATTTTACTCAGACTTAAACAGGTGATATGTGCCGCGCAGTGAAAGCAGACATAGGCCAAGCAAAGTTTAGTAATAGAGGGACAGGACACCCTTTTCTGGCTTCTGTCTGGAGAACAGATGGCCCTGATTCCGATCCTAACTCATGAGAACCAATGGCCATCAGATGGGCATGAAGTGCAGATGTCCAGATGTGAACTTCTGGACCACGGACAAGAAATAATCCATTCATTCTGATCAGATGAATTTTCGGCCCTCAGAGCGAAAACAGCAGCTTCAGTGCTTGTAGATACGCATTAATTATACTCAGCATTGTTCTGAGAAATAAAACCTGCCAGGACTAAGCCGCTCTACGTCAAACTGAATAGTAGGTGACATGTCTTAATTTTACCCATTTGCAGAAATGTCCAAATTTAATAATGACTACCTAAGATGAGACGACAAGCATTTCACCCATGTATTACCTTAACAAGAGCAATATTTGATTTGTATGGGGTAGCTGGAGCCTCAGACTAATAAAGGAATGGCTTTCTTGGTCTTAATAGTTATTATAATCAAAGTCATGCAATTAAAGTCATTATTTTATTTTAGGCTATCTGGTGCTAAAATAGGGACTTTGCACAGCTTATCAGGGTTCAACATGTACAATTTAACCTTTAATAATGATGCTGAGGATTTATTATGTACTCATTCACTGTAGTGTCTTAATTTTGCTGTTTTTCAATAAGACTTGCCGCTGCTCTGTTTGTGTAGCGTGTTTGTTCTTGCGGTGTTGCATAGCTCTCCTCCAGGTGCTTTGGTTTCTTCTTGCAGTCTAAAAACATGCAGTTGTGCAAATTTGAATCTCTTGAATTGCCCGTAGTGTGTGACTCTGTGTGTGTGCATGTGTGTTTGTTTGTTTGTCCATGTGTCCTGAAATGCACTGGTGTCCTTTCTAGGGAATTCCCCTGCCTTGTGCCCTATGGTTCTTCAGATAGGCTTTGGGCTTATTGTGACTCTGATCTGGATAAAGGGTTAGAAGTTGGAAGAGTTTCCTATCGATGAAACTTTTAATGTGTAAGCCAAGCTGGAGTTCCAAGGATACATACGCTTTGCTGGGGAAGATAATTAGTACTTTAGGCACCCAGCAGTCCTTGAGTACCCTTTCTGTGTGCATCTGGGAGGAATGCCTTTAGAATCTCCTTATACCATCTAGTCTTGTGCCATGATCCAAGCTGTTGAAATCTCAGATTGAATCAGGGGTGTTATGATGATCAGGACAAGGGTTATTCACATGAAGATTCCCCTTGTTGCTTTTTTTGCCTTTATGTATCCAGGCAATTTGTCAAGCAGGAGTCCAAAATAAATCAGAAATGACAACTATATTTAAAGACAGCTGTAGAATATACCCCCCCATCAAGGAAGAAGACTGAGATTTTTCCAGGCTGTGACGACACTGAAATAGTTTTCGGTCATTTCACTCAAGAAATGTATATGGGGTTTAAGTGCAGAGAACCTTGTGTAATTTAACTTGGTGATTCATGCATTTGACATTCAATAATGCTATGGTGACTCCGCTGCCCTCTGGCGGGACTTTGCTAATGTGTGCCATTAGACATGCCTACATCGGACATATTATAATGCAAAGTATACATCATTCATGAGTGACGGAATAGGCTGCACAGAAATGTGTGCGACAGACCTTTGAAAGCAGGCTCTGCGAGTTGTTGTACATGAACCAGACTTGGGCTAAAATACGTTTTTGAATGCTTTATGATAGATCCATAACTTCTAAATAATAGCTAATAAATATGTTATTATTTATTTTGAGTGTGTGTGGTGTATGTGGGTGTGTGCGCCAGTCATTCATATGTGTAAGATGCTGACTCTTTGGGCTGCAGAGCCTCACTCTTTCTGCCTTATGCTAAAGCAGCTATGGCTGATGGGGTTCCTATGGAAACAGAGGGGTCAGCTGAGGGGGCCATGACTCTCGGTTTTCTGTATGGGTAAGAGATTCGTTCCAGGGGCAGGGCTTAAAAAAACCCGGAGTGCATAATTTCAGAATTAGAGAGCAGTATACCACCTTAAATTAATGCACCTGTAAATTTAGTTAAAGTACCTGTAAATACACTGACACATTTGCTGAATGCAAAGAAAAACAAATGCAAATGGGGAACATATAAAACAAAACAGCTCAGCTGACAGATTTAAAGACTTTAAGTTTTGTGTCTGCCGTGTTACCTGGTAAGTGTCATTAAATTTGTGTCGTTTGCCTCAGGTAGAACGTTTGTTGGCAAATTGGCCTTCGGAGAATATTGGCATGGAAGAATCCCAGCAGGCTCATCATAAACGTTTGAGAAATTCACTTTCATATCATAGCTAATTGGAATTCAGCTAGGGTTTGCCCCTTTACACATGGAGTACAGCAGTGTTTGTCAGCCCAGTTTTCGGGGACAGCAAAGACAGACCAAGTTTTTGCTCTCTGTCAGATAGACCACGTTTTTGCTCCCTGTCAGACAGTCCACGTTTTTGCTTCCTGTCAGACAGTCCACGTTTTTGCTCCCTGTCAGACAGTCCACGTTTTTGCTTCCTCCCAGCTCCCTACCGGGCTGGGAGGAAGCAAAAACGTGGACTGTCTGTGAGTCCTTAAGGAGCAGGTTAAGAAACACTGATCTGCATAACATAGACACACGCCAGTGTGCCCTGGCAAGAATAGTGGGTCCTATTCTCATAGACTACATGTAAATTAGACCCATGTCTTCTTGAACTTCTTGTGTCTCTGAGGCTAGGGATCTGTGCTGGCAATCGGACAGTCTATTCTGTTGGGCCCTTGAGCAAGGCCTTTAACCTGCAATTGCTTCATCCTGGGTATGACCTTAATCTACATCCAGCCCTGCAAGCAGGTCCTCCAACTTTCAGGAAAAAATTGGGGGTTGTTGGCAGGATTGGAACTCCAACCACCGGAAAATACTTAACACTGCTCCATTCCATTCAGACTAGTGTAGTGCTGTGATATCACACAGTGCACAGCTGCACTTTGGGTTCTTATCCCTGAGGTGGTTTGTTGTATGGTGGGTGCAGCAGTGCGCACTCCTTTCCTTCTTGAACTAAGCTCTGGTGAGTATTTTGTGATAGGAAGCACATTGCAGTTTTGCCTTAAAGCAGTTTTCAGACCGAAGGTGGCAGACGCCGCGCTGCGCTCTGAAACCTATTATTTTCTATGGATTCTGCAGCGCGAGAACGGTTTTGCGCTGCGCCAAGCAAAGCGTAAGTGCAGCGCAAAGGCCGCGCACCGCGGCATTGCTGTCAAGTCTCTCGTTTTGGCCGGCAAACTACCGTATTTTACCCCTCTTACCCGCCGTCCTCCCGTATTAGTATTTTCCCGTAAATCTCCCGTATTATAATATCATTTAAAAAAAAATCATCTGCCTCTCCAAACTGAACTGCCAGTAGCCTCGCGAGAACTGCCACCTGCAGTAGTCTGCAGGTCATTTACAACATTAACCAGGTCATAAATGCGGAGATTAAAATGGCAATGCTGTGTGGGAAAAACAACGTTACTTTCACCTTCTGTGACGACTTCAACAAGGATACAAAGTCTGCAACAAATCTGTATAATAAGTCATTAGTGAATGCCAGAGTGCCACATGATGAGTGAACATGAGAAATTAAAAGAAAATGTGTAATGAAAATAAAATGTAAATGAAAAGTGGTTATTTTAGATTTCTTGTACACCTGTCTTAAAATGTAAGGGATACTGGAGCTTGGTTGGGGTGGTGGGATGGCTCGCTGTGGGTGCCGGAAAATTTCCCTTATTGTCAAATCCAAAACTTGAAAGGTATGCACCGCGGTCAAAGTTGAAGTTTGACGCTGCGCGCTGTGAGCCATTGTCGCGCGACCAACACAAACAAAGCACCGAACCAGGCAAAGAAATCGAAGTGGAAGAGAAACTTATATTGTTCCAGTCTGAGTTCTCAGAGGTATATAACTCAAGCTTATAATGTTTTATCGTGCGAAATATACATTGTCGTGACTGGCCGGGGCAACAACGAAATGACAGAAGAGAGTTTTGAAAACCGCGCCGACTTTTTGCGCTGAATCCCGTGGCGAGCGGGATTTTTTTTTTTTTGGTACTTTTTTTTTTAACAAGGGAGAAGCAAATTCTCCATGAAACTCATGGGTATGTCCCCCCTTAAGCAGTTATACAACAGATTATTACAAGGATTTAGCATGTAACGGGGCATTGTGTAGGATTTAGCGTTTCGGTAGTGAGATGATACTCTCTGTAATTCAACTCCCCAAAGGCTGTGATAATAGCCTTCCCTGCACAGCTTTACCCGTGGAAAGTTTCTTATGCAGTTAATGTGTACAAATGTTCCAGTTAATCTGTGTCTGTATGCGCAGGTGCATATGAGTGTGCGAATGCGTGGTTTGGTCTCCAGTGGGAGGAAATACAGGTCAATGTGCCAAAGATGAATATTTTTAAATTTGTGTTTAATATTCAAAGTTGGATGTACTCTTCATCTTCCCAGTTAAAGTGCCAGTCGAGTTAAATTGTGCACATACTACACCTCATTTTGATACTCGGTTCTGAAGCAGAAATGTAATAACAATAATAATTTAATGGGTGGGGTGGGGCGCGGTGTTGCAGTGGTTAGCGCTGCTGCCTCACTGTAAGAAGGTCCTGGATTTGGTCCCATTCGCACGCTCTCTCCGTGTTCCAGTGGGTTTTCACCTAAGGCTCCAGTTTTCTCCCACAGTCCAAAAGTGTGCGGGATAGGTTTATTGGCGAGTCTGAATTGGCCCTGTAGTGTGTGTGTGAGTGTGTGCACCCTGTGGTGTGTTAGCGACTGGCCAGGGATGGTTCCCATCTGCCCCCATTGTTCATGGGATAGGCTCCGCGACCCCAGTTGGGATTAAGCAGTTTCAGAAAATGGGTGGATGGATGGATAAATGGAATTTAATGGTGTGTGAGTGTGCCCTGCGATGGGATGGCACCCCATTCTGGGTTGTTCCCTGCCTTGCATCCAAAGCCTTCAAAATGGGCTCTGGACTCCCTGCGACCCTGAATAGGACAAGCCGTTCCAGAAGATGGATGGATGGATGGATGGATAATCCAGTGATAGACTTGAGCATTAAGAATGTGATGGATCTGCAGAAGTTGCTGTGCGGGGATAAGCTCCAAGTGTTATACCACTGATCACTGCTGGCTACTCGTGCAGAAACCACAGACAATCATCTCGCTGGTGGTCAAGTGTTTCCCTTAGCATGCGTTTCATTTCTGATGCTTTAGATGGGTTATCTCCTGGTGATTGTCTCTTTTGTCCTCAAGCACTCCCGTCACTCTGTGTTAACAGCGGTGCGTCTCCCTTTTGAAGACGTGCTGGCAGCGCAATGCAAGTGAGAAGGGTCTCATTGTCACCTGCTCCTCTGTTTGTGTAATGAAAGGAAGAATCATTCATGCTTCACAGTCATCAGTTCTTTATTTCCCCACCCCTGGCTGTACGTGTTATGGGGCGGCATGGAGCAGGCAGGGAAAAGGTGATGATTCACTTGTGGCTCCAAGAGACAACAGGGATTTATTGGGGAAACCAAAATGAACTAAACAGGAGTAAACGCTACAAAGGGAACCGGGACACACCAGGAACATAAATTCAGAAACAAGCCAAGTAACAACACACAGCAACATTAGCACACAATAACTGACTGGGGAAACAAACACATTGGAAAAACTGATAATACTTAAGCTACAAATGAGGCCTCTGGACGACCTCAAACTCCTGACCGGTGGGTGTATAGTCACAGGGCCAAAAGGCTCAACCCACGGAGCTATGCAAAACACACTAGGGCTGAAAGGCAGGGTAGGGCAGAACAGACCCTGACAGCATGTTGCCAGTGAATTTGTTTAATCCAGTGTTTTCCATTCCGGTCCTCAGGGACCAACAGACAGTCCACGTTTTTGCTCCCTCCCAGCCCCGAGGGAGCAGAAATGTGGACTGTCTGGTAGGGAGCTCGGAGGGAGCAAAATCATGGACCAGCTGGGTCCCCAAGGACCGGATTAGGAAACACTGTTCTAATCTAAATGCACATCTGGAAAGGTTTGTCTAGGTTCATTGGCTTTGTTCTATAGCTTTCACTGCATTTGTTGATTGTTTTGACTGTGCAGTTTAAACCCATATCATCAATTTAGTTAGATGCAATTGGAAGATTTTTTATGCTTTCCCCAGACAGCCTCCCATGTTACCATACCAATATGTAATTGCCACTGTCGGCTGAAGAAAAAAAAATCTTATCTAACCTTAGGCAGAGAGTGCAGGGTGTGGAGAGTGATTTTCTTGCTGAATGCACTGCTGCTGGTATGGAGAGGAAATCCAAATAACCCGTGAGAAGTAATTCCAGCTGCAGTTCTGCTTCGGTGATTAAGCCACCTGTGAGCTTTCCCCTGTGAGACCATACAGCACTGCATCACCAGTAGTAACGGACACACACTCACAGACACGCACAAACACCGAAACGCATGCACACACCTGCATGGAACTTCTTAATATGATATTCACTTGGTGAAATTATAATTCTGTCCATCAAATAATTCAGTCCACACCAGTGCTGCCCAGGCCATAAATTCTGGCTCTGTAATGACATTCAGTAAAGACTGAACATGGCAGTTCCTAGTTTAATGAAGTAAGAATGCCTGGCCCAACTTTTGAAAGTTGGTCTGGGTCTTTTTGTTAACTTGAACAGAATCGTGCCCGAGCGACAGTTCACAAAGCCATGGCTTTGATGGGATCCAGGGTAATTGGCGAGGTTCTGGGTAACCTCTGTGACATGCCATTGAGGGAATCGATTCTTTCATCTGTACACCGCAGGCGTCCCTAAGGTGCCAAGATTGCTGCTTGAAATTGTGCATGATTTGTATTGTAGCATGGAATAACACAGATTTTGTTTATTTGTCAAACTACTAAAAAACCAGAAGAAACCCACACAAACACGGGGAGATCTCCAGACACACAGCTGGAGACTGGAACCAAACCCAAAAGCTGTATGACTTACAGAAGATGAATAAGCAGACTGTCACATTGATTTGTGAAGAACCTATGATCTCTGGCATAGAGATCCATGGGACACTGCAGCTCTGGAAGATGGAAGGGTACCATGTATTTTGCAACCGATCAACACAGAAATACACTGTGTACTGTAAATGACCAAAAACGTGAAGAAATGTAAATTAGCAACATGTAAACCCTTGAGTGCAGAACATCTCTCTGACACACAAAACAGCTTCTTCAGACAGACAGACAGACAGACAGACAGATACATTTTTCACATCTGTAAATAATGGGTTGAAAATAGCACTGGTGCACAGCTACAAATACGGTACAGTACTTTTACCCAATCTTTGGCTTTGTGAAAATTTTGAAAACACATTTTGAAAGCTACTGCTATTTTGTTTGACATGGGGTTCAGAAAGAGAGGGATAATTTAGATGCTTCTGAATGGTTTGTTGTTGGGTCAGATGTAAATTTTTCCTAAAGGGAGCAAAATCCTATTTTGTGGCATATGATAATATGATAGATGTTTATAAAGAGAAAGGAAAATTTGGAAACCAGAGTGAAATGAGCAGAGTAGAGAGGACAGTAGTGCAGTGTGTGACTGTGTTTACTGAAGCTGCAGCAGGGTGACAGTAGTGCAGGGGGCCATTATCCCACTACAGTGCAGTGGGAATGCTCTAACCATTTCCAGTTCTGCCAGTTTCATCTACGCAGGGCAAGTCTGTACGAAGAAGTCTGCCTTTTGAACACAGAACAGATTTAAGCGCCAGCATCTGCTTGTATTCTGTGAAAATGCAATGGGGGCTTTTGATGAAAAGGCCCAGTTCCTTTACCAACTGAAAACCTGTATTAACTTTGCAGTACAAATCAAGATGTGGAACGGCGCCTAGTTACGCAGCCGTTATCAATTACGGCATTAGAGGAATGGCGATAACCTTCTCTCCTACTGTAATTCTCTGTCTCAGGATGTTTCGGTGTTATTGTTATGAGAAACACTGAAATTCTTAGGCCGCTGTTGCAGGGTTGGGCATCATGGGATAGTACAAGACAGTGCAAGACAAACCAGTACAATAAAATAAGTAATAAAAATGTGCAGTGGAAAATAAGTAAGGATGCAAATAAATGGCAGGTTGAATATCCCCCCCCCCCCTTGTTTCTTTTCCCTTCCTTCACCCATTCTTCTCCCCCCTCTTTTCTGCATCCCTCTCCACCCTTTCTGCTCCCCTGTCCAGGGCGGAGGCAGGCAGTGCCAAGGCCATGCACCGGCGTCACACCACCCTACGGGAGAAGGGTCGTCGGCAGGCGGTCCGTGGGCCGGCCTACATGTTCAATGAGCGCGGCACCAGCCTGACCGCTGAGGAGGAGCGCTTCCTGGACGCCGCCGAGTACGGCAACATCCCCGTGGTGCGCAAGATGCTGGAGGAGTCCAAGACACTCAACGTCAACTGTGTGGACTACATGGGCCAGAATGCATTGCAGCTGGCGGTGGCCAATGAGCACCTGGAGGTGACAGAACTGCTGCTGCTAAAGGAGGGCCTGGCCCGTGTGGGCGACGCCCTCCTCCTCGCCATCAGCAAGGGCTATGTACGCATCGTGGAGGCCATCTTGGGCCACCCGGCCTTCGCGGGCGGGCTGGAACGCGAGCTGCACAATGACGACTTCTACGCCTACGACGAGGACGGCACACGCTTCTCGCATGACGTGACTCCGCTGGTGCTGGCTGCGCAGTGCCAGGAGTATGAGATTGTGCACATCCTGCTGGTGAGGGGCGCGCGCATCGAGAAGCCTCACGACTATTTTTGCAAGTGCGCGGAGTGTGGTGCACGACAGCGCCGTGACCCCTTCAGCCACTCGCGCTCCCGCATGAATGCCTACAAGGGCCTGGCCAGCCCCGCCTACCTCGCCCTGTCTAGTGCAGACCCCGTTCTCACCGCCCTGGAGCTCAGCAATGAACTGGCACGGCTTGCTAACATCGAGACCGAGTTCAAGGTAAGGCAATTTTGCCTAGAATCCCTGTAAGATTAATCCTTGGATAGAGCAAATATAAAACCGAATTATTACCAAAATTGAGTCTCTTAGACTCTATATATAATTTTGAGGAAAACATTTGACAACCTACTACACATACGAACGAACAGTCAAAAATCTTTGAAGTCCCTTTTCTCAGTTTGTGTCAGCAGAGTTACTGTGTTTTGCCTTTGTAGGGCAGTACATTGCACTGCAAGGGGTTGCTTACTCTGGCTAATCCACAGGGGGGTCCGTTGACGTTGATCTGATGCATTTAGGCTTCAGGCAGGTTTGCACTGCATGCTCTGTCAGCATTTGCTTGCATGTTAATGTGTCTTGGCAGTTCAATATAGGGCTTCAGACAAGTATCTCAATGAGAATTTGCTTAGGAGGAATGAGGTCACGACAGCTTTCATTTTTATCAGCTGTTGTCCTTGTGTTGCTGGATGGCTGCAAAATTAAATAAGTTCCACAAGGGGCCCATTTAATTGGCTGCAATCAACCTTTATTATGACCTAATTTTTTACATCTCTCTTGTTTTGTTGATGTGGATGGTGTCATTCCTTTTATTCATTCCTGAGGGGTAATAATAGGCATGTGGAGTATAACCCACAACTCTTATGCAGAGGGCTCTCGCTTATGTTTTTTGTGCAGCTTCTAAGGTTACAGTACTGTCCACACACGCATATTCATATGACTACAGAGCCTCCAAACACACAGGAGTGGCTTTGAGTTGTGAAGCCCCAGAGAACAGGTGCTTGGGACATACAGATGACGACAATCATCACCTGTGCCTTCCCAGATAACATTTCCCAGAGACATTTCCATAATTTCTGTCATTTTAAAGGTGACAATGCTCAGGTTTTGATGCTAACGTGATACAAAGTTATTTAATCCATCAAGGTAGAAAGTATCTATGTCTGTGTCCGTATTTCCAGAACATTCAGAGAGATTTCCCTAAAGGTTTGAGTCTCATCAGACTGCATCGAAGCAGTTTCCAGAACAGTATCACTGAATAAGACACCTGGGCATTTTTGGCCCCTGCTAATTTAATTAAGCAATGACTGATTTTCAGGCATTAATTAAAAACAGTCACATATTAATATCCTGTAACCTTCCTTCTTGTTTTGATGAATGTTTTTGATCATCAGTTTGGCTGAAGCTTTAGAATCAAGGCAGTCCATTCACTATTGAAGTCCATGTGCACTAGTTTAAGGACATCTTTAACAGGCGAAGTGCATAGGAGATATGCACTACTTTAGGGAGACCTTAGACAGGTGAAGTCCATTGGAGATGTGCACTAGTTTAAAGAGACCTTAAACAAGTCTATAGAAGATGTGCATTAAGTGAAGTCTGTAGGAGATGTGCACTAGTTTAAGCAGCCATGTAACAGGTGAAGCCCATAGGAGATGTGCACCAAATTAACATGATAGTACTGATATACACTCAATAATCAACAGCTGAACTACTCAGTGATAAACAATTATGAATCATATTAAGCAAAAGTTATTTTTTCTAGGTATTAATTTAAGTTCAGGTTTAAGTTTCAGCTCTTCTCATAATCCAATCAGGTTTCATGTCTTTTTTTTAATAAAGTGGGGATCTAAAACTTCATTAAGATATAACCTTGCTAACAGTAAAGTCACAAACTAATTTCTTCACTTCCAGCACTTGCGTTTGTACCAACGTTTAAAGTAATTTTGTGGGAAAGTCCCAGTATACAGAACTTTACGACATTAGTCTGGCCCTTTAGAGGATAAAACTTCTAAAATCTGGGGCTGTACAGTATGTGTTGATCAGCAGTCTTTTTGAACGCACCGATGCTTTATTATTATTATTATTATTATTATTATTATTATGCTTGGATATTCTAAAACATGGATGTTACGTGGCACTGCTTGCTGTTTTATTAGTCTTTGCTGCACAGAGAGGACTGTGGGGTGACTTAAACCCTGATTCTCACCTTCCACCTGCGTATGAACATACAGCCAGTGCCACAGCTCTGTGGCATGTCCCTAGTCCTCATGATGCTCAATCGCTCTGACAGACTTTCATTTCTTAGGGTTACCCTGCCAGCCTGGGAGTTTCTAATTAAAGGAGGGAATCAGGCAGGTGCCAAAGGAGTCGTCCTGTGTGTTTTTTTCATGGACCATGATTGTTTGAGTGATCTTTGCACTCCGCTCTCTAATATCCACAAATCTGCTGTTAGCAGCATTAAAGGTGACAACGGAGCCAACTCTGTCAGCTGTTAACTGTTAATCCCCACTGACTGCTATTTCTGTGACACTGTAGGTATTATTACCCTCTGCTCTCTGCCTCCCACATAAATGCTATTAGTAGCAAATCTGTAACAGTGACAGCAGACCCACCCCTGCATTCTGCCAGCTGGAAATCACAGCAGTGCTCAAAAAAAAAAATGACTGTAGTCATGAGCTGCAAATTTCTCAGCTATAGTCAATCATGATGCTGTGATAGTTCTCTGCAGCTTGGAGCCGCCATCCTGGCTCTACACCCAAACTGTCATGACCAGTGCAGTTTTACTGTCTCCGTCTCTCTCATCTTTCCCTTTATTCATCTATTTTCTTTAACTCCCATATTCTCCATGTCTCTTGATGTTCCTCCTTCACCCCATCCTTCCTGTTCTCTTCCCTCCCATCATTTACTTCTCTGGCTGCCTCATGTCATTCCTTTTCCTGTCTTCGTTTTCCCTGACCCCCCCCACCCCCCCCCAACTACCCTCATGCACAGAACGATTACCGGAAGCTGTCCATGCAATGCAAGGACTTTTTGGTGGGGGTGCTGGATCTGTGCCGGGACACGGAGGAGGTGGAGGCCATCCTGAATGGGGACGTGGACCAGGCCCCCCTGGGTGATCATCACCGCCCCTGCCTGAGCCGTGTTAAGCTGGCCATCAAGTACGAGGTCAAGAAGGTGAGGGTATTCCCGGCCGTATCTCATGCTGATTAAAGAAGGCTAAGGCTGATTGGAGCTGTCAGAGATCCTGAAGAATGTGTCGAGAAGTGAGGCTGTAATCATACCAGAACTTTATCAATTGACTTTTAAATCAGATCGCCGACCTTGCACTCAAGGATCAAAAAACTGCCATCTAGGAAAGAGCCCTCTGAAGATTCTGGAAGAGGGGACTTTTGGAGCAGGTGATGCCTGCTGTATTTGGGAGATTGGGTCCTGAGAAGAGGGGCTGCCCTTACGGAAGCTGGCACATAAAGCCGTGCACTGACCCAAAGAAACTCAACAGGGAGCCGCTATGATGCACAAAACAGGAACAGCAAAACTGCATAATACATCACTGAGCACGGAGAAGGGGATTCCCCACAAGCCCTGCTCTGAATCTTTACAAAACTTATTAATGAAGTGTAGAGACAACTGAATAGTGTATGACAGTGTTTCCCAATCCAGTCCTCGGGGACCTGCAGACAATCCATGTTTTTGCTCCCTCCCAGCCCCGAGGCAGCAAAAATGTGGACTGTCTGGCAGGGAGCTCGGAGGGAGCAAAAACGTGGACCGGCTGTGGGTCCCTGAGGACCAGATTGGCAAACACTGGTGTATGACTTTAACATTTCTTCTGAGATTATTCTGAAGTCAAGGAGTATATAATTCCATTTTGAATTGTATCCAGGCATCTCACTGCTTGTTTGACTAGTGATTTCACAAACTCAGCCCCCAATTAATTAAATTGGTGACTGACCATTTAACTTCATTGCCAATGTGGCTAACAATCCATTTAACTGTTTAGTGACTCAAGGAAATTTTGAGGGGAAAAGTCAGCATTTGCTTAAGCGTGTTTAAAGGGCCAGGTATGTAAAGCACAAAGCAGTACTGAGCCTGCATGATTCATCAAATATCACATTAAAAACACTATGTACCCAGTGTTATGGGTGCAGTATGTGCAGTTAGTCGTGTGTGAATGGATGTTTTCACCCTGGTCGTCTTTAGATTTCAGCCTATGCTCTTTATAATGCAAACCATTACTATTTTTCCATTTCTATATAATGAAATCTTTATAGATATGTATCATAGCACATTTAAATGATCGATGCTTTAGATTAAGAAAGAGAAACACAATTCCACTAGGTCCTCAGGTTCCTCATTACATGTGAAACCAAGTATTACTTCTGCAAGAGAGAAAAATGAATCTTTCCCTAAAGACCAGTGACTCTCATAGGTATTCACTGGTGGTATGAACAAGGTAATTCAGCTTCCATTTAATAAGCGCTACACTGACACCTAAGCCAGTGTATACAGCATCATTTATTAGACAAGACAAAAAAAACCTTTAGTAAATATGCTGCTAGACATTGTTGTTATTTGTTCTCATACAATTACCTTCAATATCTCAGTTGACTTGGCAATTTCTGCATATAAAAAAGCAGCTGAAATTATGGCTCAGATCAGCTGTCCAGCCATGTGCAACCAATGCCTTTGGAATCAACTTTTTTATTAATAACATATTGCAGATAAATCTTCACAGTGACATACTCAGAAACAATCAGCCCGTTTGGCCAAAATATACCAATATAAAAGGGGTGTTGGGGGGGGTGTGGACAGCATGGCAGATTCAGGAGGCCCAGCGCTTTACATGTAAAATTGGACAAGGTCCCCAAGGTGAGAGGGGGTCCAAATTATTAGGTACGCTCCTGATCTGAAAGGTGGACTTAAATCTAACTCCCGGTTTTAAAGTGTACGTTTAATTAAAAGTTTCGCCAGCGCAGCATTTACATACTCAGAAGCTTGTGTACAGTGAAGCTTTAAGGCTGTCTGGTTTCAGCTGAGTGATCCCGATGGATTTAGATGGAGCCCAATCAGTGTGTAATGTATGTAAATATGGTTCGAATTTAAATCTGGTTTTTAATAATTAAGTCAAAAAGGCCCGTGTGAGATTTTAAATAATTCTGATGGCAGCTCTTCAGGACTGGCAGACACGCTGTCAGTAATATTGATTATTCCTACGTCAGACAGGCCGCTCCTTAACACTCTCGCTTAATCTCTTGTCACGTTAATCAAAGGTACATCCTGGGGCTTCATGTAAAGCGATCAAAATACAGCCAGTGATCAAAGTGAGCAGATACCACATTGACTTTGCTTGGACTGCATTTAACTTCCCTATTTTGTATACTGGTGTTTTATGTAAACCTTATTAGCGAGAAGGAAATGAACCCAGCTTTATATACCCTTGTAAAGTAAAATCTGTTTAGTCAAATTATTAGTAAGTTGAGTCCACCATTGGAAAAGAGTTGGCAATTGTTTCTTTTTAGGCAGAAAATGTTAAATGTACATCATGCAGGCAAATTAAGCAAACCTTTGTGAATAATCATCCCACAAAATCCATCCTAGCCCCTATTTAAATACACCAACACCAGTAACAGCAGAGCTTAAATCTAAGTATATTTTTCGCTGTCATGGGAGAACCTAAATCTAAGTATATTTTTGTCTGCCTTTCAATGTACATACTAACATTTCAAATTCAGAGATATTACCATTTTACCAAATGAAAAGTATTTAAACTTTCCAGGTGATCGTGACCAAAATAAGTGGTTAGAAATCTGTTTAGTCCAATAATTCAGGACTAATTACTCCACTGCATACTGTTACGGGAAAAACTGTATTTCACTGGAGTATAAAAGACTGATACAGTAGGCTCACTTCAGTGTCTTTCCTGGTTATATTTATATTGACAACAAACTGCATCTATGACACTCAGGCAGCTGTAAACTATATTTATTGTAATATACAAAAGATGCTTCCAAGCATAGAAGGATTACAACGGTCATCTTTCATGCTCAAAATTTTAACCTTTTTACATCAAAAGTTCCAGGGCTTTCGTGAGGCTCATAGGATTATTGTTCAGATTCCCTGAACAATTATGTCCGCCGTTTCTCTTCATGATCCCTGCAAAGAAACAGAACAGGTAATTGAGCCTGGGATCAATATGGCTCCATGGGTAGCAAGTCATAAGAAAGACACCTTCCTATATCCCGCAAATGGGGGCTTAGAGGGATAGATTCTTCATGTCGGGAAGCGAGAAGGTAGCTGTCCCAAGAGTGGTTGTTTGGTAGAAAGGAAGACAAGGGAAGGGGAGACTGACCAGGAGAGATAGACATGAGAGAGACACGTGGGTAGGCAACATAAAGCAAGAGAGAGGGAAAAAAACAAGGAGTAACACAGGAGTAACAACCGCGAAGTCAGGGGAGAAAGAAGAAGATGAGACAAAGGAAACGAGATGAAGAGGAGGAAGTCTAGGGAGAGAATAAAAGGCAAGATTTTAAGGAGAGATATATAAGAGAGGAAGACAAAGTAGCTGTGAGAAGAATGTTAGGAGCAGAGTGAGAAGTGAAGAGAATCTGGGAGCAGCTTAAACTGATACAAGTTAAATATCCATTCGGAGACAGTCGCACAATGTACTCTGGAAATGCTGGGTTTGTTTGGGCTCCTGTTAAGACAGAACTAATTCATTCACTACATGTTTGTTTTGAACATCCAAATGTCTGTTCGTACCCTGCTTTCCTCTTAAAGTGTTTCTGCCTCTCTTCTCTTTGAAAGAAAGTGGAGGTTACTATGGATTATAAAAGGGGTATATGGGAAATAGGGGGCCGCTAAATGGGTTGTAACTGTTCACGTGGGGGCCACAGCACAAGCACGTACTCGTTTTCTGATTCCTAGCCCTCCCTGGAAAAGTGTGGACCTTCATGTCTCTCAAGCTACTGTTAATAATACCTAAATAACAAAATGCTAATAAAGATCAATGATGCCGTTTTTGTTTGTATAGATTAATGAGTTGCTATAGCAGTAATGTAGCAAAAAACAAAAACCTTACAGCTGTCTTTTACAAACGAAAGAAACCAACGCCAGTTATTTTTAATCATCGGCTTTACGTAATTCTTAAGCACTGTTATCTTGTAAAGTCTGTGAATAATAGATTTGTTTCAATATGAAATCAAAGATGATGACCCAACTATTTAATAAAAATGGTTTGCCTCCCCCCTGGTTTGCATATTCCAGAGCCCTGGAATGAATGGCGTGATTATGGGAAAATGATGGAGAGATTTACGTACAGATTAAAACGATGGATTTATGTGCAGATTAAAACAATGAGACAGTGAAGTAAAAATTGTCCCCTTTAACCTTTGTGAAAGGGGTTACAAGGGATTAATATGTATGTCTGTCGTCTCCTGTAATAGATGATCCATCCTTCTTCTGTCTCCCCAGTTCGTAGCCCATCCCAACTGCCAGCAGCAGCTTCTCACCATCTGGTATGAGAACCTGTCAGGGCTCCGTCAGCAGTCCATCGGCGTGAAATGCTGGACTGTGCTGGGAGTGACTGTGGGGCTCCCATTCCTGGCCATTGCTTACTGGATCATGCCTTGCAGCAAGGTATGCCTGAACACTGCTGAGTTATGGTGCTCATGATCTGCGCTTTTGTTTTATACTTGCTTTTTAACACTCTCGGTTCTGCTCCGTGCACCAACTCGCTACCTAAACTAGTGTTCAAAATTGTGGAAACACCTAGCGTTTTTTTTGGCATTACCCTTTAAAAATTACTACACAAATATTCCTGGTAATGCTTTAAAACAATCAAAGAATGTTACAAAAATCGTGCATTAGATGATTGAATTGGTCCCTGTGGGGAAATTCTCTTTTTGCCTCCCTCAGCTTGCTCTTTGTGGGTGACAGCAAGCTGGCCGCAAAGGCCAGCCAGCCATAGCAGCATCCTGGGAGCTGGGGTTTAAGGGCCTTTCTTAAGGAGCTGCAGATGTACTGAGGCTGGGCACAAACCAGGACCTTCTGATCACAGGCACAGAGGCTTAGCCCACTGAGCAACACACTACCCCCAATAAGTACTTGAAGCAACAGTTGAATAAAGTTCTGCAATCTCTAAAAATTGGAAGTACTTCCACAATTTTGGCCACCAGCGTACATCTTCGCTCTGGTCATGGCTGTGGTTCCAGCCGGTGCACGCCCTGTTCTAGCTGACCTAGCACACACCCCTCACTTCCACGCTCAGGAGGTCAAAAGGAGATTAAAGCGCACAACTGTTGAGTTGGTTGAAGTCTGGTGTGATAACCTTTACTCAAAGGGCTTATTCAGCTGTACGAAGGCTCACGCTGTCCTCTTCCTGGAGGATTATAGTCCTGTCACAAGGCCATGCTCATGGATTTGGGAAACATGACATTTGGCTTAAACCTAAACCATCTGTGTTCAGTTCTCTGCCACTCCGAGCTGCCAGCATTCTTTATTCCAGTGGGGCGATTCCGTTCAGTGAGCAGCTCTCCATACCGCCCATTGTACTGGTGAGTCAGTCAGTTTGTGATGTCGTGAGGCGGTGAGGGCAGCCCCCGTGTGTTTGCTCTGGAAACAGCTCTTGCGTGTATAAATATGAGGCATGGCTCTATATGGGGGGTCAGGAGTGGTTTATGGGGGTCATTGACACTTATATGGCAGCACTGCCTTGTGCTGTTCTTCAGTGTTCACACATCATTAAAGCCCAGACCATAGGCGTCTTTCACAAAAGCTGTTATCAGAATCATCTGAAAACTGCTTTAATGAATCCCGTAACTGAGGCACCATTTTTATTGAATCACTACTTTAATCATTCATTTTTCTTTTTTCCTCATTTCTAAATGAGTTTTAGTGGTCACCAGCAGGTGTGTGTGTGTGAGTGCACGTGTGTGTGTGTCTGCGTGTGTGTATGGTCATGTATGTTTAGTCGAGCCAAAACCATGTTTATTAGACCTTAACATGTTAACTTGCCTTAACAGCTTTAAAATACATCAATAACAAACATTATATGATTACACAATTATAATGTTTATTATCATAAAATGTTTCTTATTAAATGTATACTACAGCTGTTAGAGTAGGGAAGGGTGGTAAGGTGTACTTACATGTTCTATGAATGCATTATGAAGGTGCAGTTCATGTGAAGCGTTACCCAATATATTCTATAATCTGCATGTGGCTTTGAATAATTCACTAAAGAAATTCATATTAATTAGTTAACAGTAACAGTAGCCCTCTCTCAAGAGTTACATTTAGGGGATATTTTGGTCACACGTTCTCCATAACCTGTTAAAGTGCAGAAAGCTTGAGTACTACAAGAGCCCCACCCACTTTGGCACATGATAATGAGCAATGAGAACATCCCTTTAAATCAGGGGTGGGGAACCCGATCCAGGGCAGGCCGGTGTGGGTGCAGGTTCTGGGATGGCCTCTCCATGGATCTGGGCCTTCAACCCTGCTTTAAATTTGTAGATACCTCAAACTCCATTTTCAAATCAATCATGTCATGCATGTCCTACAGTTAATAATTTTATTACCTCCAATTTTGCTCCTCGCAGAATGAATCACAGTCCTTCCATTGGGCCTTACCTGCTGATTTTGTGAGATCAGTCTTCAAAAGGTCAGACAGATAATGGGCTTGGTCCTTTCTTCCAGAGCAATGTAGCACCCAATAGAGAAGTCATTAATTCCTTCACTCCAAATCAGCCAATCGTGTTAACGATAAATGCACACTGTGGGCTATAAGTTAATGAAATCTCATCATGCGTGATCTTTAAATCCCCCAATTTAAATGACATTTATTATGGAAAACAAGCCCTCTTTCTTTTCACTAGCATCATACACGCACCCATCTAAATACACAGAATCCCCTCTCATGGAGCCTAACACACACCGATAAACCATCTGGTATATTAATAAACTGAAACAGATGATCTTTATGGTTAAATAACAGGTCACCACGTTGCCAGAATGAAACTCTGTGGTACTTGATGCAGTTGCCTTGTGTTAAATATCTTATTAAAGCATCACCCTGTGAAAATGGGTAAATATATGATAACATTTGTAATGTCCAGCCAGCCAGTCAATGTTTGTTTGGTTTTTATTAGCATTTTCTGGATTGCATGAAATGAGTCGACTGCGGTTCTCTTGCCCACTGCAGCTTGGTCAGATACTCCGCAGTCCCTTCATGAAGTTTGTGGCCCACGCCGTCTCCTTCACCATCTTCCTGGGCCTTCTGGTGCTCAATGCCTCAGACCGCTTTGAGGGGATCAAGACCCTCCCCAACGAGACCGTCACTGACCACCCCCGGCAGATCTTTCGGGTGAAGACCACTCAGTTCTCCTGGACTGAGATGCTCATCATGAAGTGGGTCCTTGGTGAGCAGGATTTGTTCGGTCTGAGCATGATATTGTCTCATTACATGTAATATGGTCCCTCACATAAAGCATGCTGCATATTGATGTCTTCTTAGTAAGTCGGGTATGTCTGTGTTCACAGACAGTAGAATCTATCCTTTCTTGTGGTGGAAGTACATTCCTGGGCAAAAAAAATAGGCCAAACCCAAATTGCTCAATATTAAGTTTTGACCCATTTTTTTGTGCAGGATTGTAGTTTAAGACATTTCTCGGTGAATAAGGTTTGTCTTCTGTCCTGGTTCGTTTTGTAAGCCTGTGTTTTCCTAGTGCATTTTGGGAAAGATTACACTCTAGTGAGTAAAATATGATTTCTTTCATAATGCAGATGAAGGTAGTTGTCTTGATAGCCCAGTTGCAGTGCAGCACTGTTATAGCAACATGATGATAAATGTTATATACTGCATAACTACAAACGCGTATTCTGCTTCCACTCTCTGTGTGCGGCTTGCATTTTCTTACCATGTTACCCATGTGACCCTGTCCTGGTTGAGTGGTTATAAGATGACTGGATGGATGAATGCTTATTAGTCAAATTAGCTGCTGTTGGCGACACCCTCAGTTTGAATGAACAAGTATCCCCTGGTGCATTCTGACAACGAGTTTTGAATTTGAAGCAGACAATGAACCGGAAAATAGTGCAAGATCGATGTGGAAGCAGTTCAGAGAAAGCTTGGAAAGATTTGGGAAGCATCCAGTGGTATCGAGTAACAAAGGAGATAAAGAAGAGAAGGCATCCTCCGCCTGACAGGGAATTACACGATGTCCGACGACTTAAGGGGAATAAGAATCTGGAGTCAATCAAAGTCCTTCACTGGCATTACTTCATGAAAAACCATATCAATCTCTAGATAAGTGTAGAAATGGTTTGTGTGAGCATCAACTGAGCAGTGCCCAGAACTCAACTCGAAGGTTCAGTTGCTTTTGTTTGAGCTAGAATCCAATTACTTTGCCACATTGTGACTTTTTAATGTCTGCCATACTTTCTGTCCTTCTCTGAGAATTGGGTTTCGAAACAGGGGAGGGTGGGTACAAGTCATTCTCCTTCTCAGTGACACAGGTAGCAAAAAGGGGGGGGGGGGGGCAACCCTGCTGTGCTCTTTGAAGTTCCAGTAATTGTGCAAAGAATGAAACTGATTAGAGGCATTTTTTAATGAGCAATTATCTGCTGTGTTTGAAGAGTCTTAAGGAGGCTGTGTTAGGAATTAATGTGTTTGCATCGTAGGAGAAAGTCTGTCTTTTTCTGTCTGTTTATCATTGTAAGTGTGTATGGTAATTACAGTGCATTTCTGGGGTTTTCATATATGTAGATGCAGTTCTGTCTATGTATGGCTTGGTATATTTCTGCAAATTAATGTGCATCTTGAAGTGTAACATTCTTAATAAGTCTTAGCACGTAATTAGTAGTGAGCGTGTCTGTATTGGAGAAGATGGTAAATGGTTGCAAATCATTGCAAGTTTCAGTTCTCCAACTTTCACATACTCTTCCTGAATTTGGTGTAGTAGCCCCCGAAAAAATGTATTTATTTTGTCCCTTATCATGTAATGCCACCTTTGACAATATCACCCCCAAACTGGACTGTGACACATGGTTTTGTTTAATCTTTTTTCCTGGCTCAGAATGTAAGAGCATCTGTTGTGTTATAGGTATGATCTGGTCGGAGTGTAAGGAAATCTGGGCAGACGGGCCTCGAGAATACGTGATGCACCTGTGGAACGTGCTGGACTTTGGCATGCTCTCCATCTTCGTGGCGTCCTTCACAGCTCGTCTCATGGCCTTCCTGAAGGCCTCGAAGGCCCAGCTATACGTGGACCTGCATGTGCCCAACAATGACCTTAGCAATGCCTCCCTGCCGGCTGAAGTGGCCTACTTCACCTACGGTCAGTACCGTGGCGCGTTAACCACACCTGTAGGCAGCAGACACTACCCCATGACTGCAGGTGGTTTGAAGTGTTGGCATGCAAACATCTGGGGCCTGTTTCACAAAGCAGGATTACTTGCTTAGCCAGATAACTTGCCAGATTTATCAAGTTATCTGGCTAAGCAAGTAATCCTGTTTTGTGAAACAGGCCCCTGGTCTGAAGGTTGCTGATGCAAGTTCTAGAAGAGACCTTGATTTTACCTTCCTGGAGTATCTGAATTGCTCCTGGACATACAATAATCCATCCATCCATACATACATCCATCCTTGTCAGGTTAGCCTGGACCCAATTCCAGGTGGCACAAGATACTAGGCATGGATATGGGATACCAGACGACTGCTGGGCGCATTCATACATAAACATTGTGGGCAATTTAGAGATATCTGTTGACCTGACTGAAAATTAGGAGATTAGGAAACCTACCTGACACAGTGACAACATGCAAACTCCACATACAGCAGAGACAGGATTCAAATGCCCAACTGCAATAGTAATACTCACTAAGCCACAGTGTAGTTTTGTTGCTGGACTTACATGATGCAGGCTCCCTACTCCTGTGCTCACTATTCATAGTAAGCACTCTGAGCCCTCATCCTAGCCAATACCTAACTACTACCTGCTGGCTCACGTACTGTTTTCTAACTAACAAGCCATTAAATCCAAGAGGACTACATTTCCTGAGCACTAAAGCTTTAACGGTGCGCTGACAGTTGTGCAAAGCCAGAATTTGTGTTAAGTGGCTCTCTGAATAGCGTTAGACATACTACATGGAAATATTCTGTAATAGAGACTTACTAGCTTCATCGTAACAGATGTCGCTTTGTTGGGCCACCTCTTGCAGTCTTTTATAGTGCGTTTTACATGGGATTGTATTGACAAGTAACTATGAATGAGTTTTCTGGCAGAGAAAAGAAATCCTTGCTTAATCAATAAGTCTGCACATTTAGAAGAAAATGGTTATCGTGGTGAGGCCCGATGTGTAATTTACCTTTGTTTAACTGTCATAAACCCTTATCCAATCAATGAAGCTGACAGTATCCTGGAGTCTGTTCTACATAGCATAGGGAAACAAGGTAGGGGACACCATAATCAGCATGCATGGCAGTCACACGGCATATAGCAATTCTGTGTCACATTTTTGGACTGTGACTGGGGACCCACACACGAGCAAAGCATGATCCATACACAGCGAGCTGGGGCATGAATTGAACACACATCCCTGAAAGTGTGAGTCTACAGAATTGTCCATTAAGTCATCCTCGTTTAAATTACATCACTTAGCTGCTTAATCTATTTATCTGGTGCTGCACTCATTTATATCTGTTATTTTCTTCTGCGGCTCCATGTAAAATTCAGATTTCCTGCTCAAGGGAACCACACAAATGTCCCTGTTAGAATTACAACCTGTAATCACAAATCCAGTTAGATGTCTGTTTGCATGTTTAATTGGACTAATTGATGCCCTGAGCAGTTTTTTTTAGACGTTCTCAAAGCACTCAACTCAGCTGCTTTGCATAGCACACCTTGTGCAACAAGATGTCAATTGAATTTTATAAATGATCCCATTTCCCTTGCAGCAGCTTATCCTGGATAAGTAACCTTGATCCTATTCCTGAACGGATAGAGCACAAGGCAGGGATACAGCCGCTATGGGGTGTCAATCAACCACAGGGCACACACCTGTACACACAGTCATACAGTACCGCAATTTACATGCACCCTTTTACCTAACTGCATGCCTTTGGATTCTGGGAAGAAACTTCAGAACTAGAGACCTCACACAACATGGGAAGAACATGCAATCTCCACCCACACTGGGATTCGAACCCCTTAATTCTTATGTGAGGTAGCAGTGCTACATATTAAACCGCCCTAAATAAATACAAATTGTGAGCTATTACAATTCCATGTTTTCAACTGTCGCATATGAGGAGTTATCAATGCTGCCATCTTATGGTAGGTAAAAGTCACTGCAGGAAATTATATTTCATTCAAGCTGTTTATTTGCATGGTTGCAAAATCATATTTTGGCCAGTGGAAATGGCAGACACATCATGTTGTACTAAGCATTTGATAAGCTGAATTACAAACAGGAATGGCGACAAAGTCTGTGGAGCAGACCAGAGAATCGGAATATACTGAACATTGTTTATTTCACGCACTATTAAACAGTGCTACAGCAATCATTTTCCAGTGAGAGACCACCAAAGCTATTGCACCAATTTCTTCTCCAATCACACACCACGATCGGTGTGACACTAATTTTCTCTCCAATCACGGTCCATCAGAATTGATGCACTAACCATCTTCCATCAGAGACGACTGACACAAGTAGTCATATTATTTTCAAGTCATAAACCATGATGCTTTGCAGTCTTTTCTAGCATGTACTGTCTGAAGGGCAGCTCAGTTTCTTTGTCCATCTTAACTTGGGGGCCAGGATTGTGCGCGAGAGGTAGAAATTCCACCCATTTATCCCTTACATCTCGGGTTGTGGCCGTCCTGTCTCTTTCACTGCAAGTCATTGAAAGGAACAGCACCAGAGATGATATGAGATCATTCTAGAGATGTTAGCATTTAAAAATGTCCTTCCGCTCTCTGAATTTCTTCTAAAATTATTCTAAGATTGCTTTTTGCTTATTTTCTGAGATGCAAAGAGTTTAAATTCTGGTTGTGTATGACGTGTCTGTAATGTTGCAGACCCATTATAAAATCAATACATAAGCAAATAAAAATATAATGGAAATACATTTTTGCAGAACGTCCTTGAAGCACTGACCCGCTTGTTGCAAAGAAATGAATCTGTGATCTTTGAGTCAGCAGCGCAGGCTTTGCGTGGCGTGTGCATCCATGAGGGGATGTTCTGGTCCTTGTATAATAACCCTGTTTGGCAGTTTAGTCACTCTGAGCCAGAAACATTAAAAGAGCAAAGTAGGCCAGGGGCTTTTTCGACTCTGTGTCATTTTTCTAATGATTTTCAGGAACAGCTAACCCAGGGGAGACTTTGGTTTCTCTGCTCCTTTCCTTCTTCCTTCTTTCAAATTAAATCTTGGAGCTTTAGAGATTCGGAACTCAGTTTTATCAGTTTGTGCTATTAGTGGTGTTAATGCAATTGATGTTTACAGCATCAAGAAATAAATCACAAACGTTTGCATAGTCTGAGCAAGAACAGTCAGGAATTATTTTAAAGCATTATTTTTGCTTTACCCAGGGTGAAAATCATGCCTATTCTACGTATATGAACACTATTTTTTCCAGCCACATTCTTCAGGTGCCAGTACTTCCTCTGAATTGACTGAAATTATTTTGTACCAATATGTTTTTATTGTGTAGGAAACTTGATCACTCATTAAGTTGTCCATAAAAAAACACTGATTTTAGGTTCACTTTTACTTATTTCTTAATTTGGATTTTCTTCATTATGATGCAAAACAAGCTGTGTATAGACTGCGTCTGTTGTTCTCCATTATTCTATATTAAGATTAATGTTGTTATTGATTCGGGGGGGGGGAATCCCATACAGCAGCAAGAATATCGTCCACAAATGAACATACTGTGAAGTGTGAAGACTATAATCATAAAGCTAACAAGTAAACGTGGTGCAATCAAATATGGCATTTTTCTGCACAGTGATACTAGTGTATGATGGTGTATGTGACTAAACGTGAGACCTGAAGCTAATTAAAAAGTACAGTACACAAATAGAGTATCCGTGTCCCTTGGCTACCTCTTGGCCTCATTTTCCCATCTATCTCTCACGATCTTCCTGACTCTCTGCCTCATTTTCCCATCTCTCGCGATCTTCCTGACTCTCTGCCTCATTGTCCCATCTGTCTCTCGCGATCTTCCTGACTCTCTGCCTCTCCGTGTCTCTCACAGCCAGGAACAGGTGGAGACCCTCAGACCCCCAGCTGATCTCGGAGGGCCTCTACGCCATCGCGGTGGTGCTCAGCTTCTCTCGCATCGCCTACATCCTGCCCGCCAACGAGAGCTTCGGCCCGCTGCAGATCTCCCTGGGCCGCACCGTCAAGGACATCTTCAAGTTCATGGTCATCTTCATCCTGGTGTTCGTGGCCTTCATGATCGGCATGTTCAACCTCTACTCCTACTACCTGGGAGCCAAATATAACCCCGCCTTCACCACGTGAGTTTTAAGAAATCCCTTGCAACATGAATTTCTTTTGCTAACAACCTTGCCGCCCTCAGCTGAAGGCTAAGTTATTGTGGGAGCACCGTTCTCCGCCTGTCACTGCTCACCCTGTTTTTTAAAACATCGCGCATTTCATCTACTCCATGCTTCTGGAATCTGCAAAAAATATAATAAAACCAGTAGATTACAACAAAAAAAAAATACATTTCAGGAAATGGAAACCAGGGTGAGAACTACACAGCTGAACATTCAAGGCTGAAGTTCATTGGTGATTTTACTCAGAGTGGGATAAATCTGCAAAATCAAGATTATGTAATTGAATTGACTTAGAAATCTCTTCCAACACACCTATCTCCAGATTATTTTAAAAAATCTAAAAGAAATAAATCATTTAAATTTCCTTGGTATCTAAAACCTATTCCAACACACCTACCTCCAGATTATTTAAAAAATATATTTAAAAGAAATAAATCCTTTCAATTTCCTAGGTATCGAGAGCCTAGTAATTAAGCCCACAATGAATGCAGGAGGGTCATCCCAGATTCCAGTCATTTCAGGTCACTTATCATCAGTGCTGTTTCTTTCTCAGCATCCAGCTACATTTTTTCTCACCCCTTCTCACCTTTCTTAAAAAAAAATCTCATTATTTTGCCTGGTGGCCGGAGAGCGATTTTCGTCACGTTCCAAATCTGCCACCAGGGGTCAGAATCTTGCTTATTCTGAACCACTGGGAGAAGAGAGTGGAGCGTGAGAGTAAAGCCGTTTAAGTGTTACGGCCGCTAACAGAAACAGATTGAGAGGAGTAACTGTGGCCGGGCTTCCAGCAGGGAGCTCACAGTGTCATAAAGTGCTCTGATTATGATTCCACGGTTAAACACGGTGTTATGAGAGGGAACTAGTAAAAACCACAGGAAGTAGGTAGTAGATAAGGAAATGCAATTTCCATCAAAACAAAATAAGAATATATATCGTTACTCTGTGTCTCAGGTGTGTGCATTCATATTACCATGATGCTAGCAGCAGCTATGAAGCATGAACACTGACCCTTCCACCCATGTCAAAAACCAGGTTCTCCTCAGCAGCCTTTACAGACGGTTACCCAGTAACAACCCCAAAGAGGCACTCGGACGTATTAGGCCAGGGTGGGTGGGGGGGGGGGGCTTTGTTTCTCTCCACTGAGCATCTAACAAACCTGTGCATGAGCCCAAGGCTCTGCGATTGCTCCATGCATCGGATGAATACCTGACGATGAGATTGCCGCACTTGGCCCTCCCTCTAGGGGGCAGAGTGATGGGGACATAAAGGACACTCATGCTTGAAAGCGTAATAAGATTAAATTAATTTCCCCAGCTGTGAATGCCTTTGCTGACTGGAGAGTAGAGTTGAATCAGGGCCTCTCCTGGGACTGATAGGACAGTCGGCTCACTCTGATGCTGCGATAGTAAGATGCTACTTTAACACAGAATACAGATTATATATATATATATATAAAAACACTAGTCTAATAAGCAGGTCTTGTAATAAAGGCTCTGGCTAATTAAATTCAGAAGTGTAATCATACCATTAGTATATTAAATTTAATGAGATATTAATTTAATTGCTTCACTGTAAGACACTGCTGGGTGCCGTAGGGCAGTTAAATGTTCGATTCTTTAGGGAACTTTGCTCTTTAGACTCTGTGGGGATGGTTATTTTTGGATTTTATGGGACAGGTCAGGAGTGACGTTGTTTGGCATTTACAGAACATCACAGTGCAGTAGCCCTGGGGCATAGCATGGAATTCCTGAAAGTTACAGGGGAAGTAAGTCACTGCACAATAAATGTATGGATTTCTTACGTTATGTGTTTAAAAAGGTCCAAAGATACAGCTGTCAGCCAGCCATGGTCTCTTATGCTAGTGTCCCATAATGCATAGGAAGGAATATTGACATGCTATTGTGACACACTTGACCATTCTGGTAAATGATATCTTAATGATCTTCTAAGGTCTACTAAGCATTTGAATGAAATTTGCTTCACTATATTTCTAGACCTCTTTCTACATAATGCTGATAATTTGGAATCTGTCCTTCAAAATCCTTGTATTTTAGCCTCCATACATCTCAGAAACGCCCTGCTGCTACTTCCCCACCTGAAACCTACAAATGCTTCATTAGGAAGTGAAAGTTCCAATATGACAGTAATTTAAACAACTGGATGAGAAAATGTGTGATTCAAAAGAGTAACCAAGAAAGAGTTTGTGTGTGTGTATGTGTGCGGATGTGGATTATATTACATTGTGGGGGGACCAAAATATTTTGTTTGTTTACTTATGGTTAAGGTTAAGGCTGAGTATGGGTTAAGGTCGTCATATTGGGGTTTGAGTTTTCTCCATAGAAATGAATGGAGCGTCCTCACAAAGATATAATTACAAACCTGTGTGTGCGATTGCATCGCTCTGTCAGCGATGAGGAAATGCCCATGTTTCTGTAATGAGGTGTCAGTCGTTACCTTGTTAACCCCCTTCCCATTAAATGTCATTGTATTGGCTGTGAAAACCACAGTGAATCTAAATCCTTATTGCTCTCATCATCACACTCTGTGCCTAAGAGGCCAGTGAAAGGCTCCAGCTTGTCCCTTATTTACATTCTTATACGCACACAAGTCATGGTGTACTAATCAATAAAATAAAGTTCCTTTTGTTTATCCCTATTTAATTCACTGCTTCTGAGTTCAGTAGGACTATAGATTATTGTGGAACAGTGAGCCTGTAACCTTGATTAAATTTGAGGTTTTTTTTAACCAGTGTTTGCATTTTCAGTAATATCTGATGTCACCGTGGTTTATAATGATAGATTTGAGCGCTTTTTGATCGAATGTGTGGTCTGTTTCCGGCCCAACAGAGTGGAGGAGAGCTTTAAGACCTTGTTCTGGTCCATCTTCGGCCTGTCTGAAGTAATCTCGGTGGTCCTGAAGTATGACCACAAGTTTATAGAGAACATTGGCTATGTGCTCTATGGAGTCTACAACGTGACCATGGTGGTTGTCCTCCTCAACATGTTGATCGCTATGATCAATAACTCCTACCAGGAGATTGAGGTGAGAATAGCATCATAGAATGATGGTGGTTGTTGTTATTATTATTATTGTTGTTTTTCACTGTTTTTTTCTTGGGCAAATAATGTTACTCCTTGTCCGATAAATGAGTTTAATGTGTCTCCAGTGACATTAGAAGGCTGTAAATCAGTGGTATTGAAACTTTTTTTTGACAGGGCCTCCCTAGTGTTGATATATTTATCCTTATTCCCCTACACGCACACACACATACACACACACACACACGTACACACACGAAAGACCACAAATAAATTTTACCTTACAGGTCAATGGAAACAATGAAACTATGTTCCCTCAATGTTGTTGCACACAGCTTATCAAAGTCCTGGGAGATTTTAGACACTGCAAGTCTCTCTATTTTTAATATTTCTTAAGGTTGCTATTTCGAAATAGGTCTGCCCCCACCCAAGCCCCCCAGACAGGTCTCTGTTTATCTTTTTCCCTCGACTGCACCCCCTTGCAATTCCTTTGCACCCCTCCAGGGGGTAGTGCCCCACAGTTTGAATACCTCTGCTGTAGATGAATGATTGCCGCTGTGTGTTTCTCCGTACAGGAGGACGCTGACGTGGAGTGGAAGTTCGCCCGCTCTAAGCTGTGGCTGTCCTACTTTGACGAGGGTCGCACCCTCCCACCCCCTTTCAACCTGGTTCCCAGTCCCAAGTCCTTTTACTATCTGGTGCTGCGGTGTAGGCAGTGTGTGGTGCACCTGTGTAAGGCCAAAGGCAAGAGCCACGATAGCGAAGTGGAGATGGGCATGCTTAACTCACGCGCTAAGGTGAGAAGCTTGAGCATACATATCATGACAGCAAGGGGGACATCATAAAATTATGGCCAGACGTTAGGGCACGGCTCCTCAACCAGGCCTTGTTTTCAGTTCTCCCAGGTAGTTAGTTTAATAATTACTGATTCTGATTGGGATTTAGATGCTTCATACCTGGCTCACAGCTAAAGGAAGGCTGGAAAATCAGCAGGGCTTGGACTTTGAGAACCGCGGTTTGAAGAGCAATGCATTAGGGTGACATTTGGGAGGGCTTTCACTAAGGATTTCACATTGAACAGGGCACACTTTCTTCATACTTCAAAGTGAGAAGTCAAAGGTCATGACTAGGACTCAGCAGACGAGGGTTCAGGAGAGCAGGCTCTACTGAAGCACCAGGGTGAGAGGGTGAGCTAAAAGCAGCAGGCTGCAGGCTGCAGGCAGGGCTTCTCGTGGGTGGTTTGAGCTGCTTGGGCTCAGGAGGCTTCACAGTTTACCGCCAGGTCCAGCATGGTGCAGAGATCACGCTCTCCCGCACATCCCTCTCCACTCGCCCGCCCTCCAGAATCCCTGCAGGAATTTGCCTTATTTAAATCCACATAAATCTGCAATTCAGAATGTTTTGATGCTAACATATCTCTGCAGGGTCGATTCCGAATGTATCCCAGAGGCCGGGATGAATTAACACTGAAAAAGCCAATTACACACCCAACTCGATACCAGGTAAGTATTCGCAAAAAGCAAAATACTCAGACTTCAGGTGTTTCCTAAATTACAGCAGAATTGGTGGGACGTGTCCTACCACAAGCTACTGATTCTTAACATTGAGGGTGATTAGGATCCTCAAAGATTTCTGGTTATTTGATACACTCTCACATATCCTGGATGACTAGGACCCTCTCAAATTAAGTAGGAAGACTTGAAGGACACGAATGTATTGTTATCATTGCATAGAGCTTGTTTTTTTTCCAGAAAGCAACTAGATAGGCTAAGTCCATGGGCAGAGACACTGCTGGAACCCAAATCTGGCCACAGTAACTATACACATGATTATTAATGAGTGGTCACATTAATTACTGTGGCAATAGTCGGCGTCTGTGTTACTGAGGTCGAGCTGGGCATCCTCATTATTGCAGTGTAGTATTTAGGCAGGACAGATGTTTATTGTTTAAGTGATTTTGTTGGAGACTGTTGTCTGGAAGAAGAGCTGTTTGTTGATGTTGCACATTCAGCCTGTCATATAGACTGACACTGAAAGATTGAGGGGATGTTAATAAGGCGAGCCGTGGGACTTGTTACGGAAGATGGGGCTGTAGGTGTCAATGAATGAATGAGGGTTGACATTTCCAGAGCCCAAGTCAGATCCATTAGCTGAATGATCAGAGATACTATGCACAGTTAATTGATAGAACTCTCAGTTTAAAATCCTGTGTATGTAGCAAGTATTTTTTGATTGGATGGCAACGTAGGTGGGCTTTGGCAGTGTCTCATTAGGAGTCCTCCAATATCCCATGATGCCGAGTGCAGGTAAAAATATACTGTGTGTGTCCAACTGCTTGTAGCCCAGGTTTCCTTAGTAAGCACTTCACAACTCAGTGGGAGAGGCCATCAGGGACAGTAAATTGGCAGCAAGTAAATTTCAGAGTTTCAACAAATTGTCTGTGTGTGCCGTGAGTGTGTCTGCGTGTGCGTGTTGCTGTGTGGGAGTGTGAAACTCTACATGTCAAACTCTCTTCCCCTTTTCGTTTCCTCTCTCTCTCTTCTTTTCCTCCACTTCTCCTTCCCTCGCTTCTGCACACGAGAAAATCATGAAGCGGCTCATTAAGCGTTACGTGCTGAGGGCCCAGGTGGACAGAGAGAATGACGAAGTCAACGAAGGTAAAAACCTCATTAACTTTTATGTCCCATCTACATGTTGGCCATCTCCATACTTGTCAGAGGTTTGGCACGGTCACACTGCTCATGCCCTGAAGCTGTACCTTTCTAAGTTTTATGTCTAACCATGCGTCTTGCCATGCGTCTTGCCATGCGACAGATGTCTTTGTCTTCGGGGGAGGCTTGTGTGTCAGTCCTCTCCCTTAAACACTGTTTGAGTTATGGCAACATTTTCCAGGTACCGGGAAAGTAACTAATTACTGCCCATCTTTCTTGCAGTTGCTCTTGCGTAGGATCGTTTTATTTCAGCCTGCAATTAATCAAAAATTGCATTCCTGACACATCAGGCTGTTTGCAGAAATTAAATCGCATTTCCTTCAGTATCCAGCGTAGGAACAGTGGACAGAGAGAGAAAGCGTATACTTGTCAACAAATTTACTCGAAGTCATCAGACAATACATTTAAACAATATTGTTTAATTACACTGGTCTACAAATCTTTACTTTTTGTTTCACAAATCAAAATAGATGAACCTTGCATTACTGTTCGTGATTAATTGAAATATCTAATCTGAATTTACAGCAAGGATTGTGAGTGACATACAATTAAACCTTGCACTATACGTATATATACAGTATATGTGCATGGTGGTAGCGACTCATCTTAAATGCAGAAGTGTATGATTTCCTGCTGTACTTCCTCAGGAAGGCCTCAGGAACATCCCTCTAAGGGGTACAGCAAAGGTCAGCCAGCATCCTGGGACTCCACTCGCCTTCCATATCAGAGAGAAAGCAAAACCGTCATTCAACACGTCCAAACATGTTAGTCTGTAAACTCTGGCAAAACAGAATTACAGTACTTTATCCACCGTTCTGTAAAGTCCTAAAAATGTTCAGATATAGAAATCAAATCATTTTTCCTAAATTGCTCTTGAATATGCCAGTACATTCTTAATAAGGAATTATATACTATCAATATAGCCTAAAAAAATCACAGAAAATTATGGGTGAGAGAAAAATTCTGAGCGTATTTCTTAAATCAGAATAGAAGACACCCTTTATCCCTTCCGTGAAAAATTCTTTGTTGACCAGTGTTATGTGAAATAACCAAGTTTTAAACATTTTACAATTATTAGATCAAAATTGGCTGTTTCTCAAAAACCTCATATTATGTGAAAATTCTGAAGTTATGTCTTTCATCAGCATCATACGATCTTCAAAGCCCCTTTCAAAAAATCTCAATATATAGTTTGATATTATAAATAACATAGAGAAAACTGTACTTATCCGGTAAAAAATAAGGAACATCATTGTTCCTCAACTGACCTAAATTTGCATGTGTATATGAATGCAATACTTTGCATTCTTTTGTTATGGACGTGCAATTACGTCAGCCATTCATTAACTACAAATACGGCAACTTCAGTCACCAAAAAAATGTATATCTGAAAGAAGTCTGAGTAAATCTAGATAACGTGTGAAATTCTGTCTCAGTGATGCCTCTTGTTCCTATGATTAATATTTCTGTTGCCAAAGTAAACCTTCGGTCTCTGTGTCCATGAGACTCCTCTTTGTTGGTTGCTCTCTGGCTCCAAACTGGCCCTCTTGACTGTCAGATAACGGGAGCCCATATCTGGCTTCTTTGAGCATATCACTGCGACTTGTGTGTTCTTCAGGTGAGCTGAAGGAGATCAAACAGGACATCTCCAGCCTCCGCTATGAGCTCCTGGAGGAGAAGTCCCAGGCCACGGGGGAACTGGCCGGCCTCATTCAGCAGCTTAGCGACAAGTTTGGGAAGGATCCTGAGCTGCCATGAGGCAGAAACGCCTGGCCAGGAGCTCCTGTCAAGGATGCCCTGAAGCAGGCAGTGAAGCAGGCAGTGAAGCAGGCAGTGAAGTGGCACAAACCCCTGTTCCAAGCCTGGAGCATTCCTGGGTTCCTTTTTACACCTTAGAATTAACTATGTGGTCCACTGCACCAAAAGAACCCACATATATCATTTTAGTACCTCAGTGGGATCTTCAAACCACACTGGTTGATGCGTAAAGAAGAAATCAAAGGTCCTAATGGTTCACCTGGATTATTATTATTCTGCAAGATACAAGTGTAGCACATGGGGAAGGCGGCAAAAGTTAAAGGACGTAATGACTTGGAGAACAAAGGTAAAAGAAGGAATAGCCTGACATCTGTTCTGATTAACGGCAAACAGAGATGGTTACTGGACTGGATCGGACTGGCAGAGAGAAGCACCAAGGTTGCTATAAGGGCAAATTGTTCAGCACCTCTGCTGTTGAGAGGAAGCAGTGTGGCAGCAGGGGTGTTTGTGTGTGTGAGGGTTTAAATTGCGTTGAGGGGCACCATCTGTCACAAACCACTCGCAGCTCTTAGAGCTCAACACGTTACCATACAGACTTTTTGTGCAGCACATGTATGTATCTGTGTGGCTGCGCAGGGTTTTTTTTGTGCACAGCTCTGTAAACACCGTGCACAATTTCACTATTGCTTTCTGTCTGGCCTAATTAAACCTCTAGAGGGAGAGAAAAGGTGGAGAGAGCATCACCAGCACAACAGAAGGGGAACCACTGTGACAGCTCGGCTAGGTCAATACGCACCTTAGACAACCAGCTCGGTGTTCAGGACCTACTGTAAAAATCCTCTGCCTATATCTTCTGAAGCATCTCTCTGCAAAGGCTGTCTAATTAATTGAGCCTTTCTGACATGCAAAGACTATCTTCACAGGTCGATCCTTTGTCAGTCAGCACTTTGCAAAAGCAGATGCAGGTGAGGTCTCACACAGACTACCTGGCCAATGGGCTTTGCTCCGAATCACCGGGAAAGGGAGAGACTGCCCTTAACTGCAGGTATGATTGATGTATGAAGATACATGCATTTCAGTCTGCCCTCAATGAAACAAGTTTTTTGCATTCAGGTAATACTTAGTTACTGACTCCAAACACTGTTTCACAATGCCTTTGACAATTTTTCTTTGTTGCGTTAAGAAAAAAAATCTGTGGGTGCCACCTTTACAAATAGCAAATGAAATCTTTGTAAAAAAAATAATAATAATAATAAATAAATAAAAAGCTGTTTGTAAATAAAAAGAATGAAATAGAACTGACTGCCTAATCTCATAGCAAAGTGGATAGACATTCTAAATACACTACTGTATTTTTCAATAGGGGAAAATATTTTAAAAACTTGTATATTGTATTTTCAGCATTAAATTAATCGATATAAAACTGAGCCATAGTGCGATTTCAAAATATTATGCGTGTCAAATCTTATTGTCTGATTAAAGGCCTTGGTCTTACAGATGTCTATTTCGTGTGTTTTACAGAACTGACACGAACAGCTTATCAGTTACGTTTCTTGTGCCTCTCTGCTGCTGTTCTCTGGCTTCAAACATATCTCAAAATTAACTGCAGCTGTGAGAACACATTGAGTAGCTGCACCTTTTCAGCCTTTATTGATATCTGGTCACAGCTAGACAGTAATACAATAGAGTGCTTCATTTAAACTATTCATTGAGCTTTTTTGCATAGATTAAAACTTTGAATCAGTTTCTTGGTTTTTTTTTCCCACTCATGCAGAAAATGGTAAAGCACATTTCAAAGACTTGGTATGAACAGAAAATTTCCATGTTTCTGATATGAACAGAGAGATACGAGTGTAGCAATCAGTGGACACTTAAGACAAAGGGGACTCAGTGTCCTCAAGGCTGGGTGGTCAAAAACCATGAAGCGGGAGAGGTGATTCAGCGTGGACCGGAAGGAGAAGCACTCTCAAACTCAGATGGATGTGTGGTGGCCAGGTGACCAGCAGGACAGGGAACAGTGTGTGGCGAATGTGGGCAGCAATGGAAAACACAAGCGCTGCAAGAAATGATCACTGCAGCACGCCAATGCCATCAGAATAAGGACACCATGGAATGTTCCTTTCTAAAGCGTCTGCTATCATTATATGAACATTTCCACTATAGTAAAGATAATTACAAATATTCCTGACAGGAGCGTTTGATGGTACCTTTGTAGGCTGATGGGTCTTGTTTCACCCACCTCTGTGGATCGATAACACTTGACCTTCTCCTGGACCATTTGCCCCAGTGACATCCATCCAAATTCAATGCAGTGCAGCCGCTCGTGCTGTATTCAGCTGCATATGGATGGCCTGCACTGGCTTTCCGGAGTATGACCCAGTGACCACAGGCAGGGCTGTGGAGATGCTGGTAGATTCAGGAGACCCAGCACTTTATAGCTAAAAATTCTGGGGCCCGTGACAAAATGTCACTTTGGTAGTAGAATCTACTGGGGACCCCTGTCTGCCAAAATGTACTGGCAAGGACAAATGTGACATTTTGTCAGGGGTCCTAGGATTTTCAGCTACGGCCCTGACTACAGGTAATGTTTCAGAGGAGAGATCAAGGTTTGAGTGCTTTTAGAGCACAGTCTTGTGGAGAAGCAGAAATAAAGTGAAACGGACCGCTTATTTCGCCAAGATGACGTGATGTCTTGAGGGACATCTTAAATCATTTTTAGGGGAAGTTTTGAAATCTAGAGATGTGACTTCAACATATCAGGGAAACAATTTCCTTATCTTGACAGACCATTTTGTCATCTCTTGATGATGGTAACCTGATCAAGAGATGCCATTCCCACAACATAAGGATTGTTCTCCCTCAAAATAAAATATTCTCGTTATTTATTTTTTCATATATAACTGCTCCTGTCAAAGCACAGGAATGCTCCTTTTTCCCAGTGCACAACATTTCCAGCTGTACCTACCATTCTAATAACCCAGCAAAAGGTGTAGAGATTCACAGCTTGTCTTTTCATATTTAATCAAATCCTATGGCAGTGATGCAAATAGTTCTTCTGCAGTATTTCAAACCCTGTTTGAACCTGTCTGAGTAATTCCTCGCATTGTTAAATTTAGTAGCTGGAAGCTCTCGGTTTTATTTTAAGGTATATTGTGGGAGATCTGTATTTGTCACAGAGCCACTAAACATAAACAAATCAGAAATAATAAAAACCTCTAAGATTCAGATTCTAAATGTAATAGAAGTAAAATCATACAAAGAGTGATAAGTGGTAAGGTGATTTTGGATGTGGGTAGATCCATCAGCCAGTCATATTCTGTGGTTTGATTGAAATTATTATCGTTCTTCAACCTGCGCAGGTCCCAGTTGTAAAAAGGCCCAATACTCAAGGCCCAACCCAGACCGACCAGCCAGCACACTGGAGCCAGACAGAACATCTCGAAAATCCCTGGAGGTACCATGGTTCCCTGGTAGATTTTTGGAGATGGTAAATGGATGTATTTTGGCCCTGCGGAGATTATCACTGTCCCAGCAACTTTGTCAATTCATGACTATTATTTCGTCGCTGCTGTATCTATCATCCTAGGAGAGATTACCTGTCTGGGAAAGAGCAAATGCTCCACATTGATGCTGAGGGAGGGGCACGAGCCCACCCATATTGTCTTTGCTTTCACCCACCACTGCTTTCTGGTCAGGTCCTGTTTCTGAAAAGGCGTCATAGGTCAAATCTTCAAGATACATGAACTAAACTGCTTATGCAATCATAATTTTGACTGCCTGTACAGATTATATTTGGTGCTCCTGTTTGTCTTGTTCATCTCATGCTGCTGATGTGACTAAAAATGAAAACCAAGCAATTCATCAAAGTATTGCAAATGAAGGCAGAACATTGTCTTTAACAGACTACCCAGAGAACAGTCTGCAGTTATCTTGCATTTGGCTTTGCGGCTCTATAGAAATATAATATATAATATAAAGTAGACTAGACTCAAGGCACAAAAAGGTAATTATGGCTAAAATTATATTTTGAACATGAAGCAATGCTGTTCTTCTTCAACTTCAAGATACGATGGTGTTAAAAGGTACCCAAAAGAAGAAATATATGTATAAATATGTAGTGTTTTCTAAAACATTTGTGCAGAATTTCTTAACTGGGTTTTCTCCAGAAAGAAAAGCTCTTCTATTGATGCCTAATTGCTGCTAAATCTGTTCCTCTTTCAATTAATGTGAGCAGCACACCATGTAAAACACCTGATGAAAGGCCATTTAACAATGCAGAAGTATGAATGCATGACAGGGAGTGCATTGATGTTTCAGGCGTGGCATGTCATTCGTTTGCTGAATTGTGATGCTGCTCCAGCTATCGCCCATGCGTCCTCAGGCTGCCGGCACCACAGCGAATTGGCAACAATCCCCGAGTTCTCATTTCACTGGCACTAGAAGGTGCCATGATGTAGGTGTGTGACACACATCAACTCAATGACTCAGACAGCAAGTAAACAGACCTTCCTGTTGGTTTCATGATTAATTTTTCTGTTATGATGAAAATAGGCCCATGCTCGGCGTTGATATGATATAATATGATAATATTGAATTTCCAAGGGCAAAAAGCTGTTAGTGAGGGTTATTGAAGCTTGTAAGTGTGCAATCTGCACACTGAACCCATGTAGGGCAGAAGGCGTGGCATATGCCTACCAGTGGGGCAATTAAAATAGGGAACAGGCTATTGGTGTAGGTTAAGGACTCGATTTATTGATGTGGCTCTACATTAATAACAGGACGCTGGAGGATGGAAGCTATCACAACCACCAGGGGGAATCCCAGTGTATCTGCCACCCTATGCCTCTCCTGCACTGTGACACACTGCCTGTCCCACAAGGGGAGCACTGATTGCACGGAAACCCTGAGACATCCAATTCACAGCAATTCCATCTCCTGGATTTCCTTTTCCTGGGCTGGAGCTGAGATACGAAAGCTTTTCTCCTGTAATGTCCATGACAGAGACGGGGGTGCAGGACCAACCCTTATCATAGTGCTAGACACTAATTCCCTGCCACTGGATAAGACAGGTCAAGACAGAATAATCAAAGGCGGGCTATAACAATGGGACTACCATCACTATCCATGTAGTGTCAACCACAGGGCCAGCTTTAGCTTAGAGGAAGAGTGAGCAGTTACCTCGGGCCCCTGAATCACCCGCCTTGCAGAAGAAGAGAAATGAACATGGTAGGGGGGCCTCCCAAGTAAAGCTTTGCCCAGGGCCTCTGAAAATGTACAGTCAGCCCCAATTAACCAGGACCAGAGAAGTTAGTGGAATTTTTAGGTTGCAGTTTCCTGTGCTATACCTTTTATACAAAGCACCTGACAGCTTTCAGCTGGATATTTAGCTGAGTCAGTCCAGGTCGATGACACTTTCCGTAGTAAAACAGAAGGCTAGAATTAGGCAGGAAACCTTCAGGATATAGATGTCGTTCTAAGCACTGCACTACCTGCACTCCTCAGGCAGATATGCAGTGGAAACTGGGTCGGTCTTATGGAGAGGGGGCTGCACATGGAGGCGTTGTAAAGAAGCTTCTCTAATCGCCTTTCCCACCCAATTACCCAGATATGTTTTGGATTCATGGAAATCTGGCCAGGGGGACCTTTTATGTTCTGCTGTGACAGGAGGATTCAGCGCCAGTTTGCAAACAGCTCTCACACTGATTGTTTACGAATTGTCACAAGTATGTTCAGGTGTCAGAAATGCCTCATACGAATATGATATTCATATATTTACCATTTTACTGCGGGCACTTTATGGGGAATTAAACTACAGGGAAAAGTTTTGGCACCTCTGGGAAAAGGTCTCAAAGCAGTACTGCCTGATGGCTCATTTTGGAGAGAAAGAAATTCTGACAAGAATAAATCCAGATTTAAAAAAGCAGTGAAGAGTAAGAGCTGTGTGCTTCTGATCTAATCAACTGACTTTAAGCTTTGGCAGATACACATAGGTCCCTAATTCCCCTTTGAAGATAACTGTCAGATTTTAAATACATGGAACATTTCAACAAAAAGATCACCGATTGGTGCCAAAGTCCACAGCATGATGCCATTTATCTAGATAGTAAAATGGCTTTACAGTATGATTACACGATTGCAGAGAGCTAGTCCAAGTGTTTTAGTCAATTCTGTAGTCATATCATTCCAAATATCATATCTCAGAGAAATACACCGGACGGTTATTGTTGGGTGAATATGCAAAAGTACATAAAAGAAATGTTTCATTTCTGAAATATTCATGATGTCCTATCATTTCATGACTTGTTAAAAATGTGCACAGTACATAATGGAAAAATGATATATATATAATCTTTAGTCTTTTTTTCTTATTTTTAATTTTAAAAATTGCTTTCAGCACCATTCTTTTTCAAGTGTGTAATGTGTAGAGCTAAATTTGTCATTGTTTCATATCACTCGTATCTGGTGGTCTGCGCGGGTTTTAAAACCTAGAATTTTAAGTTTAAATGTAGGTGTGGCAAGTTTATGAGGGGCGCTATATTTGCTTAAATGTAATGAAAACTGGAACGGTTTGCGCCGACTGGGGGAGTCAGACAGCTGCCCCTTTAATCGAGGGCCACAGGTCCACCTCTTTTAATTCCCCCAACCCCCTCGCGCTCCATGGCATTCTGCACTAACCTGAAATTGTTTCAGTCACTTTGTTTGCAATAAGACAGGCCGTTTAGAAAAGCCATCGCCGTTTTTCACGCGTCGCCTTTCGTCTGTCTCGGAGCGCCGAATTCCGAACCTATTTTGTGTTTGTCATCGGTACCTTTACAGAATTGTGATTTTTTTTTTTTGGTGAACGCCACCCCGGGGTTTTAGACGTATGGATTCTCTTTAGCGGCTGCGCTGTACTGATTTCTCCGGACACTATGAAGCGTTTAGTTCTAAGCCATATCGACTTTCGCTGTTGATAAAAATACAAAAAGACGAGAAGGAGTCGAAACCGGCATTCACGTTAGTGTCCTTCGTCCGGGTTTTTTTTTTTTTTTTGCTCCTTTCTAAATGAAGGACTTCCAATTGTTGCAAGGCAGCCTCCCACCAGATTTCAACTGAGGACGTACTGCGACGTATGGAAGTACTTTAAAAGAAACACCATCGGCGTTGCGAACGACATTATTTTCACCATGTGTAGCCTATTATAATTAGAACAATGTAACAAGGACGACGCTGAGGTATGCATTATTTTAGTGCACCGTTAACGTTTTATGTAAAAGTAAATGACCAGATGATGCTCAGTGCTTTTTAAATGAATTATTTCCATAGATGTTCGTAACTTTAATGTTGACTTTTAGTCACAGAGACAATAAATCTACCAATAATATACATGGATTTCATTGCGAAGACGCGATTTTAAAATCAAGTTGCCGATGGAAATCTGAAGTAGTAGCACGTCACGTTCAAGGGACATTTTGCTCGGTGTAGAAAAAAAATCATAATTTATTGGAAAATAACCAACTACAAGCCTCGTTTGCAATGGACAGTTCCTTACTGGGTGGCGTGCTTGTTTGGGGCGGTTAAGGAACGCAGACGCTGCCGTCCACCTTCCCAACCTCACCTGAGCTTTGAGCAACGTTCCTGAAGTGAGTAAGGAGATCATATAATCTGACGTGGTACTATGACAGCTCATAAAATTGTTTATATTTTATTAATGTATTTCGTTTAATTATGCGTTATATTAACCACATTTGCTGTTTTAAAATATATTATGACAAGTAATTCTCATACTTGGTTATTTATCTACGTTTATATAAAATGCTCAAATGATTGCTTTTGTTTCAGTTGACCATTGAACCAAATCGAGGAAGGAAATGTTGAGGCAAATATTGCTGAACTCCACTGCCTCTACGGGGTTTGATCTGACTGTCCAGACCAACGCGCCGCCCCTAAATATCTCGCATGGACCCGTGAGCGTTGCGGCGCTGCTGAAGCCCACGGGCAGGGAACTGCGTGAAGGGGAGCTCAGTAAACCGGATTTAGCCACCTACATAGTCATTTTCCTGCTGCTGTTTTTGCTGGTACTGTTAATTGTGTTTTATATAAACTGCCAGCTGAGGGGTTCGTTCTTCGCGTCGATGCCCTACGACAGATCGCTAAGGGAGGCACGGAGCTCTTATAAGTGACCTGAACTTTGGCCTCTGACGAACTGACTGTGGATTCTCCCTATCTGTGGAATGTATTTTATTTTATATATGGCGCCGGGCTGCATGCTGAAAAAAACACTGGTTGAATATTATTGTGTCTTTGTTCTATTGTGGAATTTTTGTTTACTAATTTTACTGACTGGATTGCTCATCAGTTTGTATGCCTTTTCTATTACTATGTAATAATAACATTACTCAGTAATATGTATGTCAGGAACAGAGAACTATACAAACACCTAATTAATGGCATTAGGATACAACATTGGCAGAAATACAATATTACCATAAAACAGTTTGCAAAAGACAAAGCAGTGAAATTCCTGGTTCCAGCAATTACCCAAGAGCTCTACCCATTACCCATCCAACTTCTAGCTACTTAACGTGGTCAGGGTTGTGGGATGTGTTGTTAAAACTTACACTTCATATGTTAATAAAATATTTAACATGTAGCATGAATGAATTCTGGGTATATATAATGTGTTTGGACTTCTGCCTTTGGGTGTGATCAATAAGAAGATCATTATTATTAATATCAGAGCTGGGCAATAGTTCTGCGAGGTGTCGTCTCCTTGGGAGTCCAGAAGAACTGTGTAGGTACCAGTTGAGAGTTCAAATGAGAGAACTCTGTGTCCAGTTCTCGGTGCATCCCAGTCACATGCAGCACATGCTAAAAAGGACAAGGAACTACCAAAATGTTTGGACGAAGTGTCACAACACAGAAAAACATCATCTCAAAGAAATCTTTACTTTAGATGGTAACCTGGTTTTGTTTTGGGCACTGTACTCCAATTAAATCACCATCAACAGACGAGACATAACATTTAAATTGATAGCCAAACAGAATAAAAACTGGTAGGTTTTTCTGCTTTGTTTTTAAAAAGCACGACTAGCACGCCTACTTTATGTGATGTATTGCCATTTTCTGGATGCAAAAACAATAAGGCTATTTTGATGGCTCTGAAATAGAACCATGCCCAGCATGACACCATAATTACACTACATTTTTCAAGCATGAGGAATTCATTTAACTACTTAAAATGGGGAGCGATGCCCTCTCTGATCTGTGCTATCACAGAGCAAGTGATTGCCATCCACCAATATCCAAAGAGGCTTTCAGGTTCAGAGCATGCTGATGATTTGCTTCTTCGTTACTCGGCCTTTACAGAACACCTTTTTTTTCTCCTTTTCCCTAAACGTTTTAATCTTTTTGTTTAACATTTAACCAATTCTTTTCATTGAGTATGCCCCGATGACTAACCTTTACAAAAGCAGAGGTTCTGATTGAGCTGGATCTTCCTGCACCGCAGGGAATGTCTCAACCAGGACAATAAAACCTGAAATGTTATTATTTAATGCCAAGCCTTTCAGCTGTTATTGGTGTGGTTTGGCCAATTGCTGTAGAAAAGCACTGATAGAGAAGCAGGCCAATTCTGCAAATTAACTTTCATACCAGTCCCAGAAACACACACTTCTCTTGACTCAGGCTCTTGAGGACAGTGTGCTTACATCCATATTAGTGAGCAGCTACAATTGAAAATAAAAGGGAGCTGGTCATCTGACAATATAGTGACTGCTGAAATTTTGCGATAGGGAAACAAGAAAAAGCTATAGAATTTTCTACATAATGTAAAGAAAGCATTCGGAGCTATCAAAGGGAACAGCATTGAGTGATGTTAAAAATGGTGACAATAGGATGCTAAATCGCAGTAATGCAGTAAAAAAATATGGTTAGTTACAAGTCAGGAATGTCTTACAGAAAAAATCAAAAGTATGACAAATGATGTAACGCAGGTGTCCTCAAACCTCGTCCGTGGACCGACACCGGGCGTTCTGATAACATCTGCAAAAAAAGGAAACGGCCATTAAAAAAAACAAAACTGCCAACACTAATGAGATGTTTTATGCTAAAATTGGACAAGGAACTATTCACAATTGTATGAAATGCTTCATTTCTGTTAGAAAATAAATAGTCAGTGAAAAGAAAAATGCATTTTTTTTCCACCATCCAGGTTTACGAACCTCCTGAATTCTATCCAAGGATCCAGTGAGAACCAGCGCAGTAAACTGTAAAGACAACTGAGGGTATTTTTTGTCGCATAAGATTTGCATAACCCTTCTGACAGTCAAAGTCGCTCATAGTCGTGGTTACAGCATGCATTTTAATCATAATTAATTTATGAAAAGCATTCGTGGTACAATTTTAGTAAACGAATGTGATTGCTATATTATTACATTAAATGCCATCCTGCAGACGTACACGCGTTTAGTGGTCAATAAATAGGCGAGTTTTTCTCAAAGTAGTCACCGGGGGGAGCTATTAGTTAGTTGGATTTTGCTTTGACTAAAAAAAACTTACGCTTGACAGGCAGAGCTGAAAGAAACGGCAAACTTGAGGGACGGGGGATCCTGCCTAAACGGCACATAACACACTTAGATACAGCAGGCATGCATACATGATCGCTTTCCAAACTAAGACCATTTTCTAGGTGGCTGAAAAAGTTTCACAATAACTCGTGCATAACAATAGTTTTGAAAGGTTATGCCTAAAACTGCGTTTCCTGCAGATCCCGGCAGAGCTTGCCGCTTCTGTGTGTGTGCCTGCTTTGCCCCTGCTCTGAGGCCGGTGTCCCTGCTTTGTCCTTGCTCGCCTCCCCCCCCCACAAAGTATCTGCCCTGTCCCTGCTTTTCTCCGCCGCGCTCTGCTTCCGGCTTTCAGGTGAAGCTCTCGCGCTCGGCCCCTCCCCCCGCGCTAACCTGCCCAAGACAGGAAGCTGCCTTCGAGACCCGTAAACAGGGTAAAAAAAAGCTGGTCGGCCGCAACTATGGGAGCCGAATTAAAGAGACCATGGTCATGAAAGTCGAAAAGAAGGAGCTACGGACGCCGTGGACGGAATAACTTACCCGTTAACCCTGGTATTAGTGGGCAGTAACTCGGACAGCCGCTTAGTGAGTCACGGTACGGCGATAAGTGTTCATACTTGTGGGGTGTATACTAGCCAGGCGTTGACAGCACTTTAATGGTGAAGTCTGTGGTGTTGCTTGACGCTTGGGACATATTGGCCGTGTTTGAGAAGTAAGGAGCGGATACCGTAAGTAAGTTTTTGGGGGTCTCATTTTAAATTTCCCTCCCTTTTTCAGACCGGGTAGAGAAGACTGGGCACCTACTCTGACCGACTACCTTACCCGAGGCCTCGGAGGAGCAGTTTTTGTGTTGTTTGCCGAGCACGCAAACTTGAAAAACAAAAAAACTGTTTTTCTCACCCTTTTTTTCGGACAAGTTTATCAGTGGAAAGTTGGACTTTGCTTTTGGCTAAAGTAACCGGCCAGAAGATGGATTCGGGGAACTCAGCCTCTGCGCCTATGGCTAAAAGCGGCAAAGAGAAGAAGTCTAAGAAAAGCATTGAGGAAGGCGATGTGAAAAAGAAATTCGTAAGTAGTGCCATTTATATAGTTTTTAAACGGAACACTGCTGTAGGATTGCTCCCGAAACGAGCGAGGCTGTTGTCTTTCTGCCGTTTCGGTGGTCAGTATAACTAAGCGGCAATGTGCGTTCGGCGTGTCCCATGCCCTTTCGTATAACCGAGATCACCACCACTATCATAACTTGTTTTGCCGGCTTTGAAATGAAACTGACGGTACAAATCAATCGGGAGGCCGAACAAGATGATTAGTGCTCCGTATGATTTCCGAAGAGGAAGTTCGGGCGCTGCGCCGTGTTGCAATAAGCGTCTCCAGCATGTGTTTAGTGTTGCCTGGAACCGCCATTTAACCCTTTATACCCCTCTCTTTGCTGAAATCTGATGTACTAAGCTTAGTAAGTTTACTAAGCTTAGTAACCGACAAAAGCAAATAGCAAAATTAGCGACTGTATAAAAGGACAGAAATAGAGTTTAATGAATGGATGTAACTTTCCCCTTCTGAATATTGCAGCTTTTAGACGTCTTGGTATTTTCTGTGTTATCAAACGCTGACAATAGTGCAGCTGTACATTTTTATTTGAACAACATTTTAAAAGTGTAAATACAAGTGCTGATGCCTATCACCGTGGGAAAAGGCATGCTATTGAAGCAGTAGCTTAATGGCCGTCAGACAGACCATTTCACGTCCACCGTGTGCCAGCATGTGTAGATTGTCTCGCACATTTCCTAATGTCTAAAATGCGCGGGTGTGACATCATCGCGCCCTTTTCCGTCATGGGGAAATGGCCATGTGTGACAAACTGGGAAGATCTATGCAACTTTAACGTGTGGTTGAAAATTGATATTCTGCAGGACCAACAGCATATTCTAACTTTGGATGAATCTCCTGTTACCGTGCCGTAACGTGAGTGATGTAGACGGGATGATTAGGTCTCTCCACAGAACCTCCTCAATGTGTGTGTGTGTGTGTGTGTGTGTGTGTGTGTGTGTGTGTGGGGGGGGGGGTGCTGATTAGCCCAATTTTTTGAGAGCACGTGGGATATTTGTAAGTGTTGACACCTTCCTTGGTGCCCTGTTGGTCACACAGTAATTTGCAGTGGGAGGTCTATACCGAAGCAAGCTCTGGCACAAAAATGGTGTGTGGAAGGACCCTGGTGTGTGTTATTGGGGAAAACGAGTGGCACCCAAACATAAGGGTCTTTGGGGTCATCAGGTTTGATCATGAGGCTCTGTGTTTTAATTAGTTATCTGGCTTGCTTAGGTTCCTGCTTTTTTAGAGCCTTTAACTTGCAGGCCTTGGGTGTGGAATCCAGTATTTACTGTCCTTCATGGCAATCTCTGGAGTAAACATACATTCTTACCATGTATCCTCTGCTTTTTAATTTATATATATTTTTAGAGGTTCTGTCAGCAACTACCATTTTCAATGCTGTTATGATGAACTCAAATGAACATCTCCTATTTTGGTATTCTTAAAAATGTTTTTTTTTTTTTTTTTTATTTAACATTGTGTTATTTGACATTTGTTCCTTTGCCAGTTCTTTTGTCCAGAGCAGCTTTGTTTTTATTTTATTCATATCTGAGTGTATACCTGGAGCAGAAAGAAGATAAATGCTCTGCTTTTGGCTGGAACGGCAAGTTGCATCCTGGGAATAAACCAGCAAATTTCAGTTTATTAATTTTTGACAACAGCTGTCAGCTGCCCTGTCAATATAAAGATAATATTTCCTAGCAAGTTGGTCCCTTTTGATTTTGACTGTTTGAGTTTTGGCCTTGGGGCAAGTCTGCACCTATCTCATCCTTTGATTGGCCATGCAGTGTGTCAGCAGGTTTGCTGCATTCTGAGGGATTGGTTGTCGGGTTAACCAGCAACTGCTTCATAAGGGAAGTGAAAGCCCAGCCAAACAAGTAGTTGCAGCCATGACCGCAGGTCTGCAGAGACTGGGTGATACTCTTAGTGCTGGGGCAGGAAACAAGGCGCCTATCACAGCTTGGCAAGCAGGCTGTGTTTCTTGTATTGTCCCTTGTTTGTGGCCTGTGTGACTGCCTGCTTCCCTGATCAGCAAAGCTGCCATCTTTCACTGTTTAATGTGCCTGTTTCTGGTTTAATGCTGTCAAAAGCAGATGTGGTTGATCTTGTAAACAAGACACTCGGTGGTCCTCATTGCAGGGTGTATGTGCATATGTTTTTCTATGCAGGTGTGAACTTATATCAGGTTACATTCAGTAGACACAAGGGTGACTTGGTCATCTGACATTTGGTTTGAGCACTTTTGTGGGTTATGAGACCTATGCAGCATGTTTCCTTTCTTGGCTCCCCCCATGTGCTATTGGCTCTGCCTGGTACCGCTCCTCTGAGGGGTCAGCTATAGGTCAGATGTGTGCTTGTGGTGAGACCAGATGGCAAGAAGCTTTAATTGCTCTTCATTGGTTATATTACTTTCCTGCCCCAAGCCCCTCCCTCGTTCCTCTGAGCAGTATTCAAGCAGAAGTATCAAGACCTGCTCGCGTGTGAAGGAAATGAGTTTACAGGAAAACAGCATGGTCGGTATGACAACCCGGCAGCATGGTGCATCCTGTAGCTCTCCGGGCAACTGCATCAGGATGCGCGGTCCCCAGAGCTCAGCCTGGGCCACATGGTTTTGTCACAGGGATTGTGGGGTTGGCCACACAGGTCATATGACAGTGATGTGAGCTGAATCATTACTGCTTAGAGTGCTTCCTGGTGGTTGTGGTAATGGGATGGTCAGTGCCAGGCTACTGCGAAACCATACCTGAGAATGGTTAAAAAAAACCTAGCTCTGGGTCCAAGTAACATGATGACATTCAGTAATTCTGAATTTTTACCCTGTTATTTTTTAGTCCAGTTTTAGTGTGGCTGTGGTTGTGCACTGCGGTGCTTTATTGTGACTTTTCCAGGGCTGTCAGTACTGTCCGGCTGCTGTTTTATGCTTTGAGCTGCAGGTCTTTATCTGATAAGAACCCTAATGAAGTAATGAATTTGCTCTGGCTCCTCTCTTTGTCCTCATGACTTGATCTGTGACATGGCCTCTGTTTTATCAACATCTTTGTTTATGGTACTGTAGCACAGACCAACTTTGCCATACTTTCAAGGGGCAGTTTGCAGCCATGACCGCAGGTCTGCAGAGGCTGGGTGATACTCTTAGTGCTGGGGCAGGACACTGTGAAAAAGGAAAAAACACACCCACTTATTTTAATAATTGCTTACTATGCTGGTACCAGAAACAGATGTTTCAGCTGTCACCCTGAACCAAAGATTTTGTAATTCATGTTGTTGTTTTCAGGTAAATTGGCCCAAATCTGGTCACAGCATCACCTGGGAGCTCATGCTCTCTGAGTATATGGTGCATCTTCCAGCCTCTTTCCCATGTGCTGTTGCATCTAGGCAGCAGGTGGCATTGTTGATAAGGAGCCCATTATAGGAGAGTCCTGTTACCAGTGTTGTTTAGCTGAGCTTTTCCGCGTGAATGTGTTTTTCCAGCGTTCTAACAGTGACCGGGACCATCCACCCCCAAAATGCCCTGATATCATGGCCAATCTGGAGCCTTTAATCTGCTGTGGCATGCAGCTTAATCTTCCAGCCTGCTGGCTGAATATCTGTCCCCACATTTTCAAGCGGCCTTTATAGTAGTTGTCTGTGTCGCAGGCTATATGGTAAGTAAACAGGCACCAAAGAGATTGTGGGTGTCAGCAGCTTGTTATATCTGTGATACTGAATAGCCTGCTTTTTGGGTTTTAGCCATATACACTACTTATGTGTTTGAAACATGAAGTTTGCATGGTGTTGCACAGCTCAGAATCTGGTTTCCTCTTGTTATCTACCTGGGAAAAAAACTGCACAATATGTTGTTTTTTTTATTATGAATTTAACTAGCAGATAAAGAAATCTCTCCCTTTGTCAGGCGAAGTGTCCTTTGGGTCAGAGGTGCCATTGGTTATCCTAGTCTGGGTGGGGAAAAGCCCCCTAGTTTGCCTTAAACCGCCCTCAACATGTATGACCTCCATGGTTTTATACTCTCACCTGCAGCGTGGAGCACTGGGCAGCCGTCCCCTGTGGCCAGAGCATTTATGATCATGTCACACAATTGCATGCTCTGCCTGTATTCTTACTTATCCAGGTGACAAATGGTGGCCAGCAATGTCCTTACACCTCCCCCACTTGATAGTTGCTAAGCAACGAGAAGTACATATTGCTTACAGGGAATGGTGTTCACCTTCAGTGCCTCTTGGAGCTGCTGTCTCAGCTGTGGGGGTGTGACAAAGTGTGACTGTGTTTTGAGGTGGTGCAAACCAGTTTATAACTGATTGTCAGAGGAAGGCAGCATTTCTCCCATTACACAGATTTATCTCTCTTTAATAACCATCTTAATTATTATTATGAACTTTTCCTCAAAAAGTTGTGGAAATTTTGTTTTATTTATTGATGGATTTGCCGCAATAGTGTAGTATTTATTACTTATTAGCTTGCCAAAGGCTTCTGTCAGAAGCTGCTCTAATATACAAAAGTCAGGAGCTTTGTAAAGGGCTGCAGCACGTTTGTTTGCTTGTTTCTAAATGTACACCAAGCAAGTTATACCACGTATCAAAGTGCAGTGGATGGAACTGTGTATTTTCCGCTCTGCTGTTGGTTTTCATGTGGTACTGTTTCTGTGTAAAGTAGGAGTCGAGTAAATTGATTCTGTGGTCTGGATATCATGGCAGGAAATTAAACAGGAACTAGATTTTCTCCTGGGATTTGCAGCTGCCATGTTTTGACCTACAAGTTCATTGGAAGTGGAATACCCCCCTCCGAAACAAAGTGTTTTATTTTCAGTTGAAACTTCCTCAGCCCCAAAGATCATAAAAATAACCCTATGCTGACAGCGAAAATCCAAAGCGTACCTTTGGGGACTCTTGAAAGGCTGAAAAAGGGCAACCCCCCCGCCCACCCACTGCTGTGTTGTCCTGATAGTCATCCTGTTCACTCGACTCCACCCTTTAAAGCTGAGC